CCTCAGGGATGATCTTCTCAATAATGACAATTTTTTCGATAACTCAGCCATTTCTTGACGGATCCTGCTCATCTTCGAACTCGACCGAGACATTGTTAAGACTGAACTGTGTAGAAAATTTCATCGCGATTGGACTCTCCTTTCAAAAGTTATCGTGTTAACGGCCGGACGGCCGGACACACTGACCGATTCTAGAGTGTACTCACTTTTTGAGTACACAAAAATATCAAATCTTGTCAATCAACCTATGTGTCTCTCCATTGTATATTTATTCTTGGCTCTTCTCGCTCTCGTTCTCGGTCTTTTTTTTCTTTGAGGTTTCAGTAAATACATATGCATTGGCTTTCGACTGACAAAACCAAATGTTGAATGAGTTTTTTTTATTCTTCGATAGTGTTGAAATACGAAGTGAAGACTAATCGTAAAAACATGAAAGAGAAAAGAATTCATTGTTGCAGAGTATTAGCATGACGAACGTCGAAGAAATTATTCCTGATTGTTTTTTGTTGTTGATTGAATAGTATGAATAAAGCTTATAGTGTAACCATGATGAGAGGCGAAACAGTTGTGGCAATTTTATTTTTTTCAGATAATTGTATGCGAATGGAATGTAACAGTGAAGCATATATGTCGCATACTGCACCATCGTTTTCGTCTACTACGTTCAATAATGTAAATCGATATGAATGATGATATGAACAATGTCTTTAGCTTGTCGTGGATTTTCCTGTAGCATGGACTGGTATTGCAATGCAGGCAAAATATTGGGATTTACAATAAAAAAGGTGAACAAGTTTTCCTTGCAATCGAAGGTAAAACTGATTATTTGGTTGATTGCATGAACACATGCTCTTATTCAAGAATCAACGTGTTGCCAACGTGTGTGGTGTACAAATGCACGTGCATTTCTTCTTCATATACTTGATAATAATAATCAAGCTGGTCAAAAAAAATATGTCATCAATTTTATTTTGATTTATTAGGAACTGATTCAAATACGTCGTGAATTTACATGTTGTTCGGGATGTTGCTGGTGTGGTAGTTGTCCGTCGTGCATGCAAGAAGTTGTTCTCGAGGCACCACCAGGCAATGCTATTGGAATAGACAAACAAGAGTAATTTGTATTATTTAGTAAATCATTGATATTAATTTATAGAATTTTTCTCATTTAGAGGCAGTAGTCGGCGAATGCACTATGTGATCAAAGATGCTCGTGAGCAACCTATATTAAACATCATCGGTCCATATTGTATTTGTGACGGACCGTACTCATGCTGCTGTGAGAATAAATTCACTGTGCGTAATATTTCATTTAACACTTTGAATAATTTCTGAGCTAAAATTTAATTCAATTGGTCATAGAAGTATACAATTGAATTTTATTCAATATTTTATTTATAGTTATTCGGTAGTGATCGAACAGCAGAAATCGGAGCTATTTATAAAAAATATTCTGGCTTCTTTAAAGAAGCTTTAACAAGTTCCGACGTTTTTACAATGCATGGTGAGTATATTGATTTATTTAGAAAAATTCAAAGACTAATCCAACGTCACAATGATAAATGTACTATTCACCAATGTCGCATATCGAGATACTGAATGGAATTCATGAGAAAAAACATCATTCAAATTGATAGAAATTTCGAATTTATATAAAGCATTTTATATGAATAAGAGACAATAATCTTTTGTTCTTGTTCCATAAACAAATTCTCTCTAATATTTGTTAAATGTCCAAAAATCCTTATTCATCATGCAAGGAAAGTTATTTAAGTAGAATAGTGTATTGAATTGATATTTACTTCTCATATTTGGACTTTGCATTTTACTTACCAAATTCTCTTTCCAATGGTTGAGAAATTCTATTTATAACTGATTAATTCTTAATTGTTGTAGTTCCAATCAATATGGATGTCAAGGCAAAAATGCTTGTACTTGGTGCCTTATTTTTGATTGCTAGAGAACTTCTAGTAATGATCTTCATATTTACATTCTGATTTTTTTCATAGAATTTCATGAATTTTGCATTGACTCCGCAACAACGCAGCTGAATGTCCTTTTATAGAACAGCTTGAATGTACAATTCATCAAACAGAATATCCTTGTATTGAAACTAATCATATTTTTGTATTTTATAACGCACCGCTGAATCTAGTATCTGCTTCTTTATATATTCATATGTATGTACTGAAATGTATAAAAAAAAGTGGAAAGAAGACTTTTGATTGAAACGTCGAATCGTCGTCATTATTATCACTTGCTCCAGTGTGGCAGAACTGTGTTTATCCTGAAAACAAATGAAAAATTAAATGATCATGCATAACTATCATAGTCCTAAGTTCGCTTATCATATCTAAGCAATCGATTTCAGCGAAAACCTTTTTCTTTAGTACAGAAGTTGTCTGCTGTGATTATTTCAGCAGCCATCGGGACTTATGAGTTTTGAACTCGAGGGTATGGGTGTGGTTGTTCGTGAAGAAAATCCTAACATAGACACCCACACCGCGCTTTTTGATAGGTTGTGAAATTTTTTGTGGGTCAAAGTCCCATCTAGTTGATGTTCAGCCGTGAAAACTAGATAACATTGGATAGAGCTCGCGATTCTACACCGCTTGATGCTATTTTTAAGGGTAGCTTAAGTTTCTGGGCGAATCCCCATAGGCATTACTTGTGAAAATCTGAGTTTCGAGGTTTTCAGGAAATTTAGTCGGCTATGACAGTCTTCTATCGCGATGAATTTTACACCATTCGATAGAGCATGAAATTCTGCATCGACTAATGCATGATTCTAGAGCGGCTTATGTACTCACGCGAATCGTCACAGTTTGACGAAAAATACTAGTTTGTCCCTATGTGCGTTACAGATTCTTTTGATTTTCTGGCGATCAAGTTGAAGTTTCATGGAATCTGATGACACCATTAGATAGAGCTGGTCGAGTTATAGGTGATTTACTAACTCTCTTTTGTGGCTTAGTCGCTCAGGCGAATCGTTGTGGAAAATACTTGAATCGGCTGCTAACTTTCCTTATACATTTGAAATTAATATGCGTCACTACTCACGGTTGTTAATATCTTGAAGATAACTGTTCATATGGGTAAAAGTTAGAAACAGCGTTACAAAAAGCATGGAAAAATGTATTCTAACCAACTATATTTCGAAAAGGTTTAGACATGTTCGAGAACTTTCTGAGTTTTGCTATTAGTATCGTTCGGTGCCTTCAGTAATGGTTGCTAACGCCTGCGATTAGGAGGGGCGACAGAAAACTCGGGAAAATTCGACTTGAAATATACTCTATTTTCTTTGTACCTATGTGTGATCTCTACATAATAATTCGCAACACTGTATAGTGTCGTTGATGATTCAATTTGTATTCGCTTATGATAACCAAAGGAAGTTTTCTAGTGACAACTGTCTTGAGAATAAAGATGCAGGTGTTCTTGTTTGTTAAAGTTCCGTTTTGTGAAACATATCAACACGCTTGATCATATATGCTTTTTCGTATTATCCAGCATATAGAATGCAGAAACATTATTTTCATTTCGTTGTATACATGTCACTATATGTATTCTCGGGTTTTGGGAAACGAGAACTTCAAATTGTTTTCTTTTCCAGAAATCCGGAATCACAAGTAAGTTTCTAAGAACCTGAACTCACATTTGAATTTCCAAGTCTCCAAATGCACTAAACAATTTTTTTAGTTCTTAGTAAATTGCTACGTGGTTTCCGATTTCCGAGAACAGAAGCATGGGATGTGATTCTTTTTTTTTAGCATAGAGAAGAGAAAGTGGCCTTCATAACGGAAAATATATCCTATGCGAGGGACGCGAGTGCTACAAAAATAAACACACACATGACTAAGCGATTAGTTAAAAACAGTTACTTTGATCTCATACAGCGAAGGAAATTGGCACCTATATCACCCCCCCCCCTCCTTGCTGGAATTTTTGTCTTTTTAATATTTTTTGTTGGGACTGATGTGAGGATATCAGATCAACCAACCAAATCTTGGACATTTCTACTTTTGTCAAAGAAAATAATATTTTAGAACAGGGACCATTTTCAGAAAATATTGACCCTTCTATTGTATTATAATTAATATTTCAGCTACAGTTCCATTAATGATTGCGAAAATGTTGCTGTACATACAATTAAAGATACTCTACAATGTAAGGTGGAAATCATCTTAGTTGGCAATTTCACTAGCGAGTATTAACTATAATGAAAGCGTCTGTAACACACTGATTTTTGAGTATATCATAAATATTGTTTTACCTATAGCTTTACAACGGCTCGGATTTGAGAAGTGAAACTTTTAGCAACAATGCATCTTGATACAGTCTATCAAATAGTTTATAAAAGTTGGAAAAAATGATACTACTTATAATTATGATTTGAGGTTTGGAACAAAGACCGTCTAAATTATTAACAATTATTCATAAAAGAATTAGAGAAAATCTTGCATTTTATCCCAATGAATTTATTTCGCTTCATTATTTTTTTTTGCATAGTAGCTGATATTCTGATATAAAAATTTCCCATTCAAGGCCTGGATATTTTGGGAGTTTGTAGAAGGATGTGGGTGAAAAGAAGCTCTGTATTCACATCCACCCACCCAACCCCACTCGCTCAACCACACCCACCCACAACCACACCCACCCAAACCCACCCACCCACACTCACACCTACACCCACACCCCACCACATCCACACTCCACACCCTTTTTGTCCTCTGTATTGCCATCTTTGGTTCTGTAAGCTCTAGTCAATCAACTTGACATTAACCTCGATCTTTCTTTCCTTAAATGCAATTAAACACGGGATCCATTGCTTGTCTTGTCGTAGAGAGAGTGAGAAACGATGGAGCAAGGATATTTTTTTTCGCTTTTTATCAGTAGGCGCCAAGAGCAAATATTTGTCTGCTAAGCATGAGGTGAAGTTGCCACGTAATCTTTTGCATATAAAAAAAGACAATCGTTTCATTTAGTAACTGTCAGTAACGACTTCACAGTTTCAAAGTAAGCATGAAAATAAAACTGAAATAAGAAAATATGGTTGACGATTAATGCCCGAGTTNTGAAAAATAGTCAGGGTTCAATGCTGATTCTCAAGGTAATAAAATTCGGTCCAAATTTTTCGAAACCCTCGGTTCGTAATTCGACGAAACTTTTGACGCATTGGAATGTGATTGAGGCGTGATAATGAACTAATTAATCAATAATCATCAACTACATACTTTACTTTATCTTATTTTACTTCATCGTACTTTTTCGGTAAAGTAAGAGAAACTTCATTTTACTTTACTTTACTTTACTTTACTTTTCGGGTAAAGTAGACCTGCTTTACTTTACTGAGTAAAGTAAAGTAACTTTACTTTACTTTACCGGTAAAGTAAAGTAATCCAACTTTACTTTACTGAGTAAAGTAAAGTAACTCTACTTTACTTTACTCGATAAAGTAAAGATAAAGTGCCACCCCTAGTTGTTCATCGAACAATATCAATACTACTTGTAGCCGCCACCATAAGAGGCAAAATGAGGCGAAGTACTTATTTATGACAATTTTATTTTTTTTCTTCAGATTATTGCATAGGAATGGAGCGCAACAGTGAAGCATACATGTCGCACAGTATTCCATTGTTGTCGTCTACTACGCTCAATAGTGCAAATATTGGAAAAGAATATTTGAAAATAGTTGATTATTTAATTGTCAAGCATATGTTTTCTTTCATTGAAGGTAAATTAATATGAATGATGATATGAACAATTTCTTTCTCTCGTCATGATTTTTTCTTGGCGTTGACTACTATTGCAATGCGGGAAAAATATTAGATTTACAGTCAAAATGGCAAAAAAGTCTTCCTTGCAATGGAAAGTAAAACTAATTATTTGGTTAATTGCATTAACATATGTTCTTATTAAAGAATCAATTTGTTGTCAATGTGTGTGGTGTACGAATACGCGTGCATTTGTTCTCCATATTCTTGACAATAACAATCAGGCTAGTCCAAAAACAAATATTCCATTGATTTTCGATTTATTAGGAATTGATTCAAATACGTCGAGATTTTACATGCTACTCGGAATGCTGATGATGTGGTAGTTGTCCATCATCGTGTATGCAAGAAGTCATTGTCGAGGCACCACCAAGCGATTTTATTTGGATAATTAAACAAGAGTAATTATCGTTCCATGTTGTATCGGTGACGGATCTTACTCATGTTGTTATGAAAATAAATTCGTTGTACGTAATACTTCATTTAAAACTTGGAATAGTTTCTTCAATAGTAAAGAATTCTATTTTCAGCTAAAATTTAAATTGAATACCATTCGATATTTTATTTAAACTCATGTCGCTAACAACAAATAAATTCTATTTTTTTTTTGAAAACTTAAATATATATTCAGGAAAAACATTTACGTACAGATTTCATAACCTTGTGGATGAACTTGCAGTATTTGTAAATTGAAACGTGCATAATGAAAACTTTTGCTGAGTTTTTCAGAGCATCTAGAATTATTTAACATATATCTCTTGCATGAAATTTAGCTAAAACAAAGTTCAGCATCCAAAGGTCTATGCAATTTTATTTTGTGAAATCAGGTCACTAATGAATAACATTATCCATATAGGTAATACCTAAAGTTTATCAAATCGTTCGTTTAGATAACTAATTTTAATGTATTCTTGCTGAAATCATATGATTATAACGTCGTTATATTGAAATAGATTGCAATTGATTTTAAATTATAACAATTTTACAATCATGAATAAATATTTGTGATTAAAAAAAACTATCTAAAAAGATTTATTTTTGTTTTTAAACATAATAAAAATATGATCACATCCAAATGAGTAATCGATTTAACACCTTATTGAAAACAGCTTCAAATTTTTGTTCACAAAGAACAGTATTATGTTGTAACCATTGTTTTGCATCTATGTTTATATTTTCAAAAAATTGTCCATTGATACATAGACCAACAAGTTTATGATCTTTGAATTCTGTCAATATGCATATTACCATTGATTCACTTGAACAAGATGATACAACTTCATGTTTCTGTTGATTTGACTGAACAGATAAGCTTTGTATTATGGATTCGTCAAGAATATTGTCGTTTGAGACTATTGTTGTGCTAGACGATAAATGTACTAAATTAACATACAAATCACACAATCGAAAGAATGTAGAAGCAATGATTGATATGTGCTCTTCATTGAGTGTTACTAATGATGGTTTTGTTACATTTTCGAGAATAGAAAGTGAAGTAATACGTTGACCAAGAAGATGACGTATTTGTTGATTTTCAATAAACTGCCATAAATAATCAAAAGGTAAATCCAAGCGAAAAATATTAGGTGCAACATTGAGAAGAAACGAAAAATGATTTAGATCAGATGATATTGATCCATGAAAAGAGATTTGAATAAGCCGAGATAATTTAGGAACATAGGATATCGGACATTGTTCTTCTGAAAGTAGTTAAAAATACATTTGGAAGAATATTATATGCATCTCAATGTGCGCAATAAAACAGGAAGAATTGAATGACATTCATTTTTTTATTCCATTGTCAATATATATCTGCATTCGATCTCAACACGCTATTACTTATCTAGATAAGCTCAGAAACATTGATATGGAATATTTCCTAAAGTTATAACTTAATCAGTTCACACTTTTTTTTTAATGTTGCTCATATAACGATTGTCGTAAATCAATACATCTCTACCCACTATCGTTGACATCTTGAATATAGATTTTATAACAGTCTAAGTCTTATAGTTAATGTGGTTCCATGTCTTTTTTCGTTACTATAGAAATATATCCAATGACACTTGACCACTCGTTGTCATGAGAGAGGAAAGGGAGCTGCAAAAAACTTCAACTTAAAACTTATACTCACATTGTGAGTTTCACAAAATTCTATTGGCTCAAATGATGATTTTTCATTCTGAAATTCTCATGTTTTCTGTGTGACTTTGACAGAATTTCATAGTCATTTGAACATCATTAATTTCTTTTTCCCATGCACGTACCTTTAACGGTATCACCAGTATCTCTCACGTAAAAAGTCATTTCTCTCACTTGATGACATTGTGATATTATTCCTAAGGACTTGAGTAAAGTAAAACTTTTGTCGATTGTGACGTTCAGCTGTTCAACACTACTATCATAACCAGTTATATTATTCATTTGGCATGACATCATTTTATTTATAAACGTCGGGAATGAAATACGAACGAAACGCCAAGGTAATGTATGCATAAACAAGAATGTATCTTTGTAGAAGCATGTAACTGGATGAGATATTGGCCAAGAGGTGATAATCTCATCAATTTCATCAAAAGGCATGTTATGATAAAAGTAAATGGCATAGTCAAATTGTTGAACAGTGGAAGGAAGTAAAGAAAGAATTGTATTGTCTTCTATAAGACGTCTATCGTGGGTGGAAAGAAAAAGTGATAAATATCGTACTATTGGTAATTGAACAAATACTAGAAATAATTCTTCAAGTATCCATGATTGTTTAGTGGATATGAGTTGACAATGAGTAAGATAAAAAAGAGGAGATAAAGTCAATTCATCCAAATAGTCCCATAAGCTATCATTTTCATCAAGTATTATGTCTAGATATTGAACATTAGGAACAGCATGAAAGAGAGATGATAAATCTACAATTGTTCTTAATTTGATACGCAATCGCAGGACATTCAAATAACAATCATCATGATGGAAATGTAAAGAACTTGATTGATTATCGATGAGTATTGTTATAATTCGATGATTATTTGCTTGAATTAATGATCGAACAACTGTTGTTTGGTTGATTTTATCAATTGGAAAGAGACTATATAAACGAATCTCAACAAGATGATTTAAATCATGTAGAGTATCAAGAAAAGCAATTAATTGATTGTATTGATAGGAGACAAGACTAATTCTTTCTAGTTTAGGAAATATTATTGACATTTTCTTATCAAAATATTTAATAAATAAATCATCTTGTAAGATAGAATAACAACAATCAATGAGTAATGATCGAATTTGAAAACCAATTTGAGGAAGAACATTTACACATAAATAATCACTTGTTAAAATAGATGTTTTATACAATGAAACATGATGACGATATTCAGTGATCATTTGTGTTATTCGATTGTTAAGTCCAGTGAAAGATAGAAGAATATCAGTACATAATAAATATTTACAAATTTCTAATAGCATCTCATCTGGAAGTGTTTCTAACGTTGATTGACTACAAGAATTTTTCATCTGAAAACAAAAATTGTTAGTATCGATTATTAATGAAGATTTGTGAAATTTTTAGGTATAAAACTTCGAAAATAGAATTCAAAATCAATCTTTGTTCATGTCTTTCGAAGTATCATCAAATAATACTACTTACTTCTATTTTGTTTGAATAAACAACTACAAAAAACATCGAAAAGAAGTCTTCATTATGCATACAAATTTACAAGATCTGCTGTTTCTCTGTTGCATTTTTATATGGAGTATCTACATGTATAAATTCTATTCTATTTCTATTTCAACAGATTAGTGTTTAGATATCGGCTAGAGGAATTTTGCGTATCGGTTTTCTTTACCTTGAAACAAATAAAAATTGATTCAAGTCATAGTGAAGAGACAAACACTCTAGAAGATTGTACCCTCTTGAGCTAACACAAGCATATTTCCTATGTAGAAAACTATCTTACATTAAAGTATCCATATTCAAGACTTGAGAATAAGCACTTGACTAATAATTACTCAAGTCGTTCATTTTAATTCATGTGAAGACTGCTGTTAGAATTTTCATATCTTATAATTGTTTCAAGAAATGTCATATCACAATATCTATTCAGTATGCAGACTCATAAATATACTCAACAGCTATAGTCAAATGTAGAAAAACGTTATACCTTTTTAAGAAGGTCGCTTCAAATGAATGTAGTGTGGTAATTTATGATAAAAATTATTTAGAGTTTCCTAATAATATATTTCTTATGATTGTTTAAGAAATAAGATTTTCAAGTGCACAAAAGATCGTGTACTTGCATTTATTGTTTCGATCAGATAGAATGAAAGAATGTATGTTATTTAGAAAGTGGAAAATCTAACATGTTACCATCATCGAAAAACAAAAAACATTAATGTATTTGTTTTTTGTATGCACGCGCACGTATGTGTTCTATGTGGTGTGAAATATTCAAGTCAAATATGGTGTGACGCATCCAATATTACTTCACGCTTCTCGTTAAACAGAAAGGAAGAAGAAAAAGAAAACATGAAAGATGTCGCAATCTGTATTCTAGTCATCATTTGATCATTTTCTTTAAATTTTCGTCATGTGAAAAAAGGTTTTTGAAATCATGTGATTGTTGTTTTTTTTTCTAAATCTTAGTTCAAATTCTCCTAAAAGTCGAAAAGTATCTCAAGAAAGGGAACAATTATTTCATGACTTTTACGCTAGGAAAAACACGATCCAAATAATTGACTTCGTTCGAAGAATCAACATCTGTCGAATCTGTTTAAAAACTCTGCATTACAGAGAGACGTGACATCATGATACTTGATGTCTATAGTAGCCATATGGTTCCATTGGTCACGTACAAAAATTGTCGAAATTTCTCATCATATCAGAAGAAATTTTATATTTTAAGATATCTCATGTGATTCGAACCGGAAAAAAAACGGCGGTATACCGCCGGTATACCGGTACGATCAGGGTACGAATCTACTGATCCAGAGTCATACGAATCTAAGAATAAATGTAAATTATCATAGGCCGCAAATTGGTTTAGTGAATCTATTTAATAAAAAATCCTCTTATTTTTATATTTAGATATCGAAAATTTTTTTTTAAAGTGAAATTTAACTGTTTCCGAGAAGAATTTAAATAACGGTTACATTTCACTCAAAAACAACTTTCGACAAATAAATAAAAAAATAAGAGGAGTTTTAATAAATAGATTCACTAAACCAACTTGCAACCTATGACAATTTACATTTATTCTTAGATTTGTAAGACTTCGAATCGTAGATATGATTAGCAATTGTTGCTTCATCTTTGTTTCGTCGTTTTGTTAAGTCGATCATTTTCGAATTGATCTAAATAAAAGAAAAAAATAATTTGCATAAAAAAAATACTTATTTTTTGTTGTTGTTAATATTACTCTAAACCAACGAAAAAAATTATTTTATAAATGAGTACTCACTTTTCATTGTGATCTTAAAATCGATCTAAATGAAAGAAACAAATGGTTTACATAAATGCTTACTTTATCACATGGAGTTGAGATTACTCTAAATAAAAGAAAAATATTATAATTTCTGTAATAAATACTTGCTCTTCATTATTATGCTGAGAATTATCTGAATTAAAGAAACAAAAATAGTCATCTATATAGATAAATATATGTGTATTTTGGCAATGTTTTGACCGCCGGTATACCGCGGTACCTAAGAAAACCACCGTTACACCGCGGTACTTAATAAAATCGCCGGTATACCGGCGGTAGTTCAAATAAATGTACGACATGGGATTCTCTTCCTATATGTAGTAGTTTATTTCATAAAAATTACATTAAATTAAATTTTAAAATATTTGTTAACATTTCGGTACAGAATTGGTCTTCGTCAGAACTTGTCGTTACGAACAATATTGATGTGAAAAATTTTATATGTATATCTTGTTTTCATTATTTCTAATGTTCTTCCTTTTGATAGTCATATACGGATACGACAAGACGATGATACTGGAAGGAGGCAATACCTATGTTTCCTTATCCGTACTGCTATCAAAAAGAAGCCCAAAACAAATAAAGAAAAGAATATATTATACAATTGTGAGCATCAATAGTGTGTGTGACAGTAAGTTTTGACGAAGAACAATTCTATATTGAAACGTCAAAAAAAGTTTTTAATTTTAATTTAGTGTAATTTTCATTCTTGTTTAATTATATAAAAATTTTTATGAAATCAAACAACTATATATAGGAAGAGAATCTCTTAAAATATAAAATGAATGCCCTTCCTTAACCGATCTCAACATAAAACAGTTTATATTATGAAAGAGAATAGTGCACATATAATAATATATCTTCATATTTGTTTATTAAATCAATGTTCTTGTGTTGCATTATTTTGTATAAAAATACAGAATCGTGTTCGAATCATTTTAAATCAATATCTTATGTAAAGTTCTCTCGTGTTTATTCTAGGCAGTTACTCGTTACTCACCCAGGCTGCTATTTGAGTTGCTCTTGAACAGCTCTTTTTCATAATTTTCCAATATGATAATCTTTTAAAACAATCTCTTTTCACTTGAGCAATAACTCTATCACACCATTTCGTATTGGTCTAACTGACTATTACAAATTGATCTTTCATGTTACTATAAAATATCCTAATGCGGGTGTCGGACTTGTTTACACCTATACCCATTCATTCAAATTCTCAAACGATAATTCAATAATCAAAAAGAGCATAACGTCACTCCTTTGATAATCATCCTTTGTAGTCTATTGCAAGTCTTACTTTTCTGTGTTGTGAACTCTCGTTACGGTAACAACGTAGATTAGTTCGTTTATTATTTGCCTGATGCACCATCATTTTCTTGGTTTTGCACTGCTTCTTCCTGTCACCAACTAGCTATTCAAAACAACTCTACAGGATACAATTCGTTAGACAACTTAACTTCAAATAAATAAAACGCAAAGAAACTAATATTTTGATATCATAATAACAGTAATTCATTGCTGTCATATGTAGAGCCCATCTGTTCCAAGAATTTTGAGACCCGAATCCAGACCCGGACCCTGAATGGTAGCTAATATTGGACCCGAACCCGGCCTGAACTCGATAGATAAAAACTTCCCTACCCGCACCAGGACCCGAACCCGATCATTAATAACCTTGAAGACTTGAATCTGAATTTCATGCGTACTTTTATAGATCCTAATGACATATTCTAACTGAATTTAGTAGCCATTCAGAAAATTTAAACATATTTCTTTGCTTGTTTTTTTCGGCGAATAGGGCACTCTATATTGTTAAACTATCAGCGCGATATATCTCCATCATCATATAATTATTATTAGCTATTGCTCTCAGCCAATTGCTTCTTGTTGATGAATCATGGTGTGAATAAAGAATTTTAGAATTTTATTGTTTTAATTTTTTTTTGTTAAAGATTATACCAGCATCAAAACGATTTCTTTTACTGTGAAGTGAATATACATCTAAAAAAATTAGAAAAAAAACATGAGCATATTTGAAAAGAAAAAAAAATTACCGACTTGATAAATAATAATGATAAATCACTTCCATTTTACAGGCCAAAAACACCTTCTAAATCATCTTTAATGTGGAATTATTTCAATATTGTTGTTGTAAATGATGTTAAACAAGATATGGTTTGTTGTCAAAAATGTAAACAATTATTTATATATAGAGCAAAAGATGGCACAGCAGCTTTAGTTAAACACAATCGTTCCTGTGAAAATGTCACTACTAATTCAAGCATGAACTTAATTAATCAAGCACAAGTTACTGAATATTATTTTTCATCTAAAGCACATGATATATCTAAAAAGCTCCGAGAGAAAGTTAAAATCTTCTGTACAGAATTTATTGCATTAGATTCACGTCCATTTGAATTAGTTTCGGGTGATGGCTTTGTTAAACTAGCTCAATCGATTTTTGATGCTGGTAAATATTTTAATGCTTCATCAAATATCGACGTCAAACAACTTATACCATCACCAGTTACGGTAAACATAATTTTTATTTACGCAAATCTGCATTATAATATGTGTATATTTTCTGTATTAGATTAGTCGTAATATTGACAATTTATACGAGATTAAAAAGAACGAATTAAAAAATATATGTATGAACTTAAAAAGCTATTGTATTATTTGCGATTTTTGGACTGAGCGGTACTCAGGTAAAGTATCACATCGAATATTCAATAAGATAAAATGAATACACGAAGTCGAATTATTTTAGTCATGCAGAAAACATAAGAGATTGAGATAACTATAAATCCTACACTGATTTCATTTAAAGACAAAAGGAGATCATTTTAAATTCTTTTTTTCTTGAATTAATAAAATTTATTAACAAAACTAATTTCTTATTATCAATCGAGTATTCTCTAATGGATTGAAACTTGTTACAGTAATGAATCTTACATATTCCATCGATACATTTTAAGCTCTAATGAAGATAATTACCCTATAGGATTAAAGGAGATATTTTACGTTTTCTTTAACTTTAGCATTTTGTTTTATTCAAAGTAATATTTTTGCTTTTTACTTTGCTCTAGGACTTTCGTACTGTGGTTTAGCATTGCGTTTTGCTACATTGGATTTTCAATTACATAATTTTATTCTTGGTTGTATATTGTATGATGCGGAATCACACTCAGCTGCTAATATACGTGTGTTTATTGATACTCAATTATTATCGTATGGTTTATCTTTAAACAGTAAAATTTTTGTTGTATCAGATAATGAAAATAAGATGCGGGCAACATTTAAGGAATAATGCATCCGAATAGGTTGTTCAATACATTATTTCAACAAACAGTTGGAACATTCGTTCACATCAAGGGAAATTGATAAAAGACCTGTCGGATGCAATAAAGTTCAAAATGTATTTCAAAATGTAAAACAAATTGTAACGCATGTTCGTCGAACACATCGACAAGTAAAACTTAAACAGAAATTGCAATTATACTCGGATACTCGTTTTAATGGTGCATTTTACATGCTAAACGTATTTCTTAATGTTTATGATGATTTAGGTGGTGTTTTGAATGGTGTTCAGATGGAATATTTAACTAATGTTGATAAAGAATTATTAGAAGAACTTTGTGATTTTTTAAAGGTATTTGATGAAAGTATTAATCAATTAAGTGAAGAAGAACGTCCTACAATTTACAAAGTTCTGCCGATTCGTCAATTATTACTTAAACATTGTGAAGATGCATGTGAAAGCAGCTCCGAAATAAAAGAATTGAAATCTTTTCTTGGTAAGTCAATATTAAAACCTCACAACTACAAAATGAATTTTCAGATGACGCATTTGTAATACAATTTTATTTAAATCAGGATACCTTATCTTTCAAAAAGCGAGCATTGTAAAAGGAATTTTTATGTAATGATTTACAAGACTAAAATCAATAGCTCAACTCTATAAGTATCTTTTCTATCTTATTTTAGTTGAACGTATTAAAATGGCTTGGGTTCTTCAAAATGAACATTAAATGAGTACATTGTTACATCCATCCTTAAAGTACTTTCATATAGCACCGGAAAAAAAGACGAAAGCATTTGATTTAGTCAAGCAAGAATTATTAGCACGTGCATTAACATCAGATTGTGTTGCTGGTACTGCTCCGAAAACAGTAACTATTGATACATCAATTAAATGTAATAAAACACCAACAGTCAATTCAAATGATTTACTAACTCGTTGTTTCGATAAACCGCAATAGAAACTTATATCAATTCCAACACCAGTAAATGAATTGGATGATTACATGGCATTAGATGAAGTAATTAATGAAACAGACGACGTTCTTTTATTTTGGAAACGTCATTCAAAATCATTTCCAATATTATCTATGATCGCACGTGATCTTTTTGCAATTCCTGCTTCAAACACCATCGTTGAAAGGTTATTTTCTGCATCGAAAAATATTGTTACTGATCGAAGAACTAGTTTAGCTGAAGCAAAACTGAACAAATTATTATTTCTTAAAAAAATCTCATCACATTAAAAGAAATAAATGAAGAAAAATTAAACAAGAATAATGCCAAGCCAAACGAAGATTATCTACAATTGATGATGAACCACTCGTGATCATCAAAGACTCAAACAACTTTATTTCATCGTCAATTACAAAAAAAATAAAAGCCAATGATGATAGTGATGATGCTGGTGACAAAGAATCTTCAAATGATATTGAAGACACGTACAATAGTATCGAACCAAATAACATTTTTTTGGATTTATAGATTGTTTTTGTAAATTAGATTTGAATATTATAGTCAAGATGACTTTTGTTATTGTTTATATTACTTTTATATATAAATTAAATGGTTTTTAATAAAAAAGAGGAAGGATTTAATGAAATTAACTTAATTGTCATATGCATGAAATTTTCTGTTGCAATCTATATTTGGATACTGAAAAATTTTCAATCCGACCCGGACCCGGACCCGAAACCGTTGAAACAAATTTCGTAGAACCGGACCCGGGCCCAGACTCTGTTGAAAGAGTTCTATCATACTCGGACCCGACCCTGACCCGTCGAGTCCAGATTCGGGTCCGGGTCCGGGTCGGACCCGATGGGTTCTAGTCATATGAGCCATTCATATGCTTCTAATATTTGGTAAATACTGCATTGAAAGTGTAAAGAATAAGTTGCGCCTGAATTTTATATCCGAACTCGTTTTTAGTGTCGAACAAAGAATACAAATAATTGACAGAAAAAAGATATGATATCATCTCTAGTATTACCAGGTTAAAGAATAAGACCGAATCGAATACTTCAATAGGTATTTTCAAACTTTGCAAGAAGATTGAATCTTATTAAAGCACCTATACAGTTGTTGACTAAGTTGAATTAGACAGCGCATGTCCAGCAACTTGATGAGATTTAACAACATCATACTTTTCTTCGTTTCCGTCTCATAGTAATTCATCATACATCAATCACAACACAAAAAGAAAAAAAAACTTAGATCTATAGTACTATTTGAAAAAGAAATAATTATCGTCAAAATTATTACGCCACATCCGGCAGTAGTGAGCATATCAATGTTTGCTATTCTTTTCTCTTTCCATGAGTACTTCATGATAATTAGCTCACAGGTTTCGACAATCTTTTGTGCATCGATACATTTAAAGCGTGTGTCTTCTGATTCTGATACTTTATTAAAATAAATAAATGAAAAAGTATTGTTAAATATTACAAAAGAAAAATGATTGAAACGAAATTCATGTTATTTTAGACGATGTCCATGTTCTTTTCATTAAGGTTTACAAAAGCAAGCCTTCCAGAAGAAGAAGAAATTTTGACAATATCCACTTGTAAAGCCACATGTTTTGCATCGATTGTTGCATGCTAAAACTCCTAACACATCGCATCGATTGGTGGACCACACGTATGAGGAAATGCATAAATGACTAGAAAAATCAAATACATAAAGATAATTCAGCAATTTCTAAATATCTTTTAATTTACTATACATACCACACATTTGTAATGTTAAAGCGAATATAAACAAAACAACAATCAGCTTAAGAGTCATGTTCAAGACTTTTTGTTTTTGATATTTGTTACTATGTTAAATATGAAACACATGCNATACATTTATGTCTAAGATCTTGTCAAGATCATGGGAAAGATATTGTTTACTACTATCTTGTCACAAGATCTTGAGTAACAGAACGATATCGTTAGTGTTTATGTGCTGACTAGTCATTCACCGTTTTTTTGTGCATGCAGAGCCGTATATAAACAACGTGATTGGACATACGAAACATACATTTTTCAAAATAATTTTTTTATAAATTCTTTCTCGACTATTAATCATTCGAGAAAATGCCGACCTCGATCGCAGATCGAGAGAGGACTACCTGAAGTCGTCTGATGGTGATCAAACCATCTCAAGAACAGGCAGGTTCCAAGATCGGGCTTCCTTCAACTGTTCGGAATAGGAATAATTAAAATAAAGATATATTGAAAAAATTTCATAACATGCTTTTACAGAAAAAAAAATGCTATATAATAGGCTTCGAACCCCGCTTCCAGATTGTATCACGGATTGTGTCGCAAATCACGAGACCTGCAACACTTTTTATCTTAGTATATACCCAAGATCTTACAGATCTATACTTAAGATCTTATAAATCTGTACCTAAGATCTTATGAATCTGTACTCAAGATCTAATTCAAGATCTTGGTACAAGATAATCGTATTATCTTGTACCTAAATTTTCAAGATCTGTTCACTTTTCTGTACCTAAGATCTTGACCAAGATCTTGCTTACAAGATGTTCGACTAGGGTATGCATTATGACAAAACTGGAATACAGCAGTATCCGCACCCACACTCACACCCTGAAAGATGGATATTACCATTGACAAGAAGAAAATGTTGGGTAATTCTTTAGTTTATCTACCTATTTTGTCAATAGATGATAACAGATAGTTATTTCGTAAGCCATATGATGGAAATGAATAACATTAAAAGTATTGTTCGAAAAGACATTAAAGATATGCGAAGTCTTTCGAGTACTTAAGCATACAAACACAATCTTTATTATATCATAGGAAAGTGTTCTGTTTTAAAATAAAACAAAGATAAGAAATAATTAGAAAAACTGGTGGAAACGTATTTGATGCTTCACTTCGTATAATAGTTATTTTCTGTTGTAATCATTTGTAAATCAGGCCACGATCCAAAACTCTTTTTTTTTCGTTAGGATTTCCTTAAAAAATCTCATAAACTAAAGTATTTTTCATATCGTTTTCGGTTTTCTGGGAATATGCCGAAGAAAGAGAGATATCCAGTAAATAATCACTATAGCACCTTTAGGTCATTCTTGTCTTTCTTATAATCATACTTGTGTAGATTTGTAACCAGTGATAATAATGATGAGTAATAATTGATATAAAGTTAATAAAAGAGTCCGACAACGAACTATTATAAAACTAAAATTCTATTGTTGTGGATCGAGCTCTGCAATCTTTACTAGAATTAATGCAACTTCAATTCACCATATGTATATTCGGTTCAATGGATATTTAGGAACAAGAGTGAAGCAAGCCAAAGCAATTGTGATTGAACGTCGTATGGATCATCTTGACTACCAATATTTTGACAGTATTATAAATGCTACGGAACACTAATATGATTTATCATCTACAGCTACAAAACGAAAAAAAATGATACTATGATTATTTTCTTTTGATTTATGTATGATCCATGTTAGGATGTAAGTATCATTCCGTACAGTAAAGAGTTCGTCTCGCAAGTGCAGAATTTTCTTAAGCATTTTTCGACCATCTTACATGTCGATATTTTTTTTCGACATTTTTCTTTCGGTCTTTATACGACTAACTTCATTTTCACCTTAGATCATAAAAAAATCACGAAGACTCTTTTTGTTTGTTTACAATTTTTGATACTTTTCGATTGTAATCAACTCTCTTAAATACATCATTTGAATACGAAGAATATAAAAAGCGGAAGCTTTGTATCAATACTCTTCATTACTAGATTTAGTGAGACTTATTTATTTAAATATCATTTTATCTAATATCAGACGAAAATACTGATTATTAGGGGGTGTTACTTTATCTTTATTGACCTTCATATTAAAGAATAAATATAAATAAAATCTTTATATTTGAAAAATAAAGATAAATAAAGTCTTTATATTTATAAAATAAAGATAAACAAATCATTGATTTGTGAAAAATAAAGAAAATATAAATATAAATGTAAGATTTTTTCTATGATTGAAAAAAAAACAAATCCGTGTTATAACAACAGGATATATCAACTAGGCGAAGTTTGTAGCAGACAGGTGTTCGGTCTCTCAAAGAAACTCTGTTATTAATTATATGACGTGCCAAGAATTAGAACTATTTTATTCATTTAACGAGCCTATAACTGACGAGTAGTGAAAGAAACTTTGATGATATCTTCCATCGACTTTTAGAGTGAATCTTCCATCTAACATCTATTTGTGATCCCATTAAAAGCTTTCAAATTTAGATTCGATGTTGCTGCTACACTTTTCTGACAATCGTTTCGTAGGAAACACTACATGACCTTTATGCTGCTCAGCTCTGAATTTTTTAAATGAGTTTGAGTGCGCATAAGAATCAGATACTTACGGACATCTACACTATTAAATATTCAATTCAATAAAACGATGAAGAAAAATGTCGAAAAACACCATCTCGTTGAACCTTTCTTTTAGTATCCGTAAAGCGCCTACAATAGTTTTTTTTTTGAATGAGACAAGCTTCATTTCTTCAAGGCGTGAAGTAAATTTTCACAAAAAGAATTTCGAGGCAAAAAGTAGTAATAGAATTTTTTTCCATATAAATATATCAAAAATTTTACTTTCTCATTTTCATCAGCTCGTGTAAAATCTTCGTTTGGTCGTATGTTTTAGTCTTTTTTCCTAGTTAAATTTTCAAGAATAATGAATTAGATCATTTGATGTATCCTATTAATCCTTTTGTTGATCTTCGTAAGGTTCAAATAAACTTATAAGCATTTTTTTGACACCACCAAATTGATTGATGTTTCTTTGTGAATATTGATTTTTTTTGTCTGGTATTTGGGATATCTTGTGATTGTATTATGGCACCATGGAAAACATCTGTCATTGACAGATCGTTCTGAACACCAGATTAGTCCTGAGTACTAGATATTCTTTTAGTGCTAAGTCTAGATAAATTTCTTCGACTTGATACTATCTGAGTTTGAAGATTTAAAATAATATGGGACAGTTGATGAAGACATTTGATGATTGATGTCATAATGAAACATGCACTGTTCAAATTGAATTAGTATAACCATTAGAGAATCCTTGAATAAGACTTCCATGTATTCATTAAAATCTATACGATATCATTTTCGAAAAGAAGTATAACTATTGTTCTATGGTTTCTCATTGACGAACGCCTGTGGACTCAAACTCCTTAATTGTTTTAATGAAGTTTTTCTTTTCATTTCTGATCCGCCTCTTCTATATTTATCACCGCTTCTCTAATACGCAGTTATACACACTCATAAATGGACTTGAATCTATTATTTATCTAGAAATTCTTATACACACGAATAAGATAGCGACTACAATAAGGTTGGATGAGTCACATTGACAGGAGATTTTGCAAGTGTGCATGAACTGTCAAAGCACTATTATTACGTAAAAAGATGGAATCATCAAAAGCATAGGCTGTTTCTCGAACATTTAAATATTGGCGTAGCCGGCAACTTTTGAGTTATCAGCGATTCACCAATTAGACTTTTTTCAGTAGAAGAAAATTATGGGGGAAGGGTCACTGTAGGTGTGGGTGTGGGTCTCCAGAAAGAAATGAAGACTGCCACGCTCCACCCACACACACACCCATACCCCATCTAAGGTGCATTCAAGAATATTGAACACTTGATTAAATGACATTAAAAACCAATGGAGCAAATTTAATGTTTCTTTATTTGAACGACTGATAGACAAAATATGAAAACGATTAAAATTAGTAATCAATCAATATGATAATCAAATTAACTACTATAAGCGAGCGTCAACTGGAATATATTCTCGTTTCGGTCAAATCTTAACTCTTATATTGTTGTGTTTCTGTGAACAAAAATCTTTATTTGTTTTCTGGCTCTACAGATAAATGATATTAGAAGGCGAAACATTCATGTTCAGTCAATGCCAAAAAACTTTTACAACTGCTGACGAATGTTCTCTAGTAACGATTCAAGTCGTTTAGCGTCTTTGCCAAGTAAATCGAGAAGACGTTTGCGAGCTTTTTGTACTACACCATGCCACATTGTCGACAGTGCGGCAAAACGAATTTCAAATGCAACAATAACAATAGCCGAAATGAGAATTTGTTTATTGTCAGATGGTGTAAACCTGGTCAATGGTTTTCCAGTCAATTGTTCTATATCTTTTGCATCCAAATCCCATAAACCATCAAATTTTTGTTTGTTGATCAAATACCGAACAATATTTTGATCGCCTGTAGGCCATGCTTCGTCTTTTCCTTTATGAAAGAAACCCTGCAGACTTGAAGTCATGCTAGAAAGAATACTACTACCAGGACTCGACAATGAATTGCTATAGTCTAGATTGAGATCAAGACTTTCACGTTTTTCATCAGCACATTCTGAAAATAAATTTACTCGAGGGATTGATGAAGAAGCGTGACACGTCGTCTCAACAATTTGACGGGAACAAGTCGCTATAGACCGCTTCCCTTTTGGCGCTGACATTGCTTGAAGCGACATCGGATGAGATGGCCTCCTGCTAGCACAGAGTCTCATGAAATGAGGTGTCTGTAAGTGTTGGTCATCGGTCGATATTTGAATCGGTACTTCACGCGAGACCATATCGGTATTGCTGCCATTCACTCTTTTTTCAACACCGATAAAAGCTGTGTATGGACTCAGAATCTGATATTTGAGTGAAAGTTCAATAATAGATTTCTTGGTCATTTCTTTCTCGTCGATTGTCACTGATGGTGTTGCCGAAGGCTTATCTTCTTGTAATCGACTTTGTAGTGAACCTGAATTGTTCTTTTTGATCGATAAAGGTAATTTCGAATGTTGCAATTCGAGAATGAGTGCTTTGGCAGCGAGTCGAGCAATGGTTCCATTCATGCTCACATTCGGTATGCAATTAATTTTCGTCTCACCCAATCGACATTTATCATTACATAATTCGACACTGGAAGTGTGACCGAAGACAAACGTTGGATCATTGGCAAGTGCATAGGAGATCAAACGATCATTAGCATAAACTGGTGGTATTTTTATTGGTGCATTCATAACAGTAGTACCGAGATTCCATTTCACTTGTATATTAGTTATAGACAATTGCAGAGCTTTTTGTAACTGTTCACCAATATGAATATCAACACTACTGTTAGGTGGAATAAAAATGAAACGTCCATTTGTTGCTCGAGCAAGACCTTTGACAAGTGAACGACTTGGCGAATGACCCAAACCGAATGAAAAGATACGTGTGGAAGTAGCCATTGAACGACATAGATCGAGTACTTCGTTTACGTTTGAAATTTCTCCATCGGTCAATAGGAATATTTGTCGCGCACGACTTTCTCCCGGAGAATGCTGTTCCACCCATTGAAGCGGTTTTAACTAGAATAGAGACAAATTAGCAATAGTTTAAGATACAATCGTTGAAACTTACCAATTCAGTGCCACCCAAATCCGCCTGCAACTGATTAGTGAGCTGTTCAGCTTGTTGAGCATTTTTTTCATTGCAAATAGCAGTTATCTCATGAAATAATGCCTGATGAGTTGATCCAAATCGGATGATATTGAAATGGCAATTCATCGGAAGACTTTTGAGAAAGAGTAACATAGCTTCACGTGCCAATCCAATCTCGTTTTTATCTCTCATCGATCCACTGCAGTCGATAATAAAAATAAATTCATTTGTCGTCTCTACATTGTTCATTTCAAGTTTACAATCTTCTTCAGTTGGTGTAAATGAAGCCATACAGCACCTGGCTCCACCGCAACAATGGTATTTGAATGATTTCTGGCTAATTCAATATCTAACAAGATATCTCGATCTAGATGTGTGTTTTGTTGAACAAACTCGATGACAAAGACATGCTCTTGGTCGACTTCAACTTGAATAGGATGGGATGTCGAATTAACGTGAGAGACGTTGACTTTATCGACCCGACAATGAAATTCAATTGTATATGGTGCTGTTTGAACGTATTTGGATGTGGTACCAGCTGGTAAACTAATACTACCTTTGGTTGGATTGTATCGAGGTGCGATAGTTGTTGGAACAACAAATCGAATTCGACTTCCATCTTGAATAAGATCTAGTTCGGAGACATACGATATAGAGATGTGACATTCTTTACCGGGTGGTAGTGCACCGGCATTGATAATGAAATTATCTTGAGATTTTTCATCTTGTTCAAGTAAATATGCACCATGTTCTTGTTGAAGTGCATCACTATATTCTTTTTGTGCTTCCTTTTTTTCTTTCAATTGTGCAACAATTTCTCGATCATCAATCCGAGCAATAAATGAATAGATTGCTGCTTGTTCTTCTATCGGAAAACAGTACGCTGCTTCAATTGGTATCGTGTCATCATTGCAAAAAATTTGTTTGATAGTCACATCGGCAGCAAAAGATTTAATGCATGCTTCGATGCTCACTTGTTTCAACGGCACATATTGTTGTTCTGGCTGTTGTGTAGAAAATGAAGAATCTTGCTTGGTTCGAAGCATTGTGTAGAATGATATTGCTATTGAAATTACTCGCTTAAATACTCACAACTTGCTTACTGAAGGTTATAAGTCAATATGGGAAAAACTACCAATAATGCGATTGTATGATTTATAGAGGAAAAAACACAGTTGACGAAATGCTGCAAAGTACAACGAGCGTCAATAAAGCGAATAGTGAGACGATGAGTCAGTTCTATGAATAAGAGATGCGATGTGCCTTGTTTACGCACATGACCAATCGTGATTGATACTATTTCATAATGTTGTGAAAGTATTTAAGCATTCGAATAAGATTGAAAGTTAGGTGCAAGCATTCTAAATTCAAGTAGAACTTTTTTGCGATGATTTATATGTCGTTAGATAGAGATAAAAGAACTGTATAAGCAAATGTACTTTCTAAATTTGTATTCTTGCTTTTATTCACAAAAAAAGTGGAAAAGCACTCAGGAGACAGCGTACGTAAGGGAGACCTAGCTGTAATGGAACGTTGCTGTACTGATCTCACAGGTTTGGTCAATATTTTTCTAGTACGTGTGGATGTGAGGATGCTAGTTTACATCGTCGACTAAGCCTCCACCCACACTCTGCAAAAAAAACTAATCAAAGCTAAGTTTTTCTTGAAAAAAGATTCGATTATATCGTGGATGCAAAAAGCCATGAGCACAAACGCTTTTAAAGTTTTTTAATCTCACTAGAATCTACTAATGTTCATAATATAGCGTCGAAACCTTCGATATCTTTCTCGTCAATATCTTTAATCAACCTCATTCTCAGTCTCGTCAATACGTTGGATCATGTGATCTACATGATCACGGTTTTTGTTCATTGTTACAAATATTTTTGGATTTCGTTACAATCACTACTGACTAGAGACATGCGGAATTAAGTTTGCTTAGGCTCGATCTCGATTCGATCGTAATATCTTCTTTTTCTGTGATCACGATTCTGGCTTATGGAAAAGTATTTCAGGATTAATTCGTATTAAATCTAAAAATAGTTTTACATACTCGTTTTTTTTCACTGATTCTGCCGGCCGATGTCTCATTTATTTATCGTCTCTCCTGAGTTTCATTTCGCTTGATATGATTTATACCATAATTCCGTAAAATTCATAGAAAACTTAACGATTTTTNAAAGTGTGTCATAATTCATGACCAGAAAAAGGTAGTACACGATCAATTTTACGTCGTTTTTTAACTGTTGCTTTTACAAGCCATTCAAAGTGTCGATTGGAATTTTTTCTCTGAGTACTAAAAATAGTCTCTAATAGCTGATTGATGGAGAAGAAAGACGAAGAGAAAATGAGTCATCTATATGTTTCATATTTATATATGACATCGCTAACAGAATAATTTCAACCATATTAATGCATCGATATATTGTAAAATATAGAATATAAAATTAGGAAGAAGAACTGTATGATATTAAAATAAATAAGTCGTCTCGAGTCATCAGCAACCATGTTGCTTGTTTGAAGTAATCAATCGGGCAGATTTAATCGATCTTTAGCATGACAGAACAGGTAGAAAGTGTGCCAGAAATAGATGCATGACGACAACTATTCGGCTACTCAGAGGAAAGGTAAATATAACGTTGATGCGTAATTGGTTTTTTTCCTCTTTCTCTTCTATTGAGGTGAATCATGGGATATTTTTTACTCATCAGAGGAAGTAGAAGACGATATTTAACACTGTACGTGAAATGCAGTGTTGCCAGATCTTCCAAAATTTTCGGAAAAATTCCGGATTTCAGATAATTTCTATTTCACTCATATCTGGTTATCCAAAAAGTCCGCAAAATACATATACTACGAAGCCACAAGATAACAACTACTGTATTTATTTAATGTACTGACCTTCACTAGCAGCCACACGCTGTCAAGGATTCTACAGACTCTGTATACTCATAGAAAAGAAAATCCGAATAAAAAACACTCAAGTATCAAAAGTACAGCAGTTGTTATCCTGTCGTGCCGTAATACATTTCATCACTAGTTTTAGTTAGAGAGCTGAAACTTTCAGGAATAAAAGATCTGGATTAGATATGTATGTAATGAAAATTTCAGCTATCTACATCAAGAAACAGGGTGAAAAATATCATTAACAATTTATCGTCAGTTATTATGAAACATCCTTTATTCTGCATAGTAATACAATAATATATTTACACACATATACATATACATGGGAATAATCTACTCTATGTGTTGTGGCCGATATAGGCAGGAGTTAATGGTATCTGAACAGTTTTATCGTCTTGATTCGAAATGAAGAATAACATTGGTATTGTTTTCTTCTCAGGTTGAAAAAAGATCCTTTTTTTCGTTCATAATGGCAATCAATCGAGTTTAAATATTTTTCTTCTGATAATCTCGAACGCAAAACCAATAAATGATGATGTGAACAATGGTCAGTTGAAATAAATAATAAATTGTAGCTAATTGAAAATAAAGATACAAGTTTGACAACTGATATGATGGATATGCATTCTATAGATATTTTATCGAAATAGGAAGAAAAGCAATTATTAATTTTTCCTTGACTTTCAGATATTGTTCTTTTGATATTGATGAAGAAAGTAATGGAATGACATGAATACAGACTGGAATGATCAGATAAACAAGGACAAATAAAACAAATCTATGTCCCCCATAATTGAATGAAATAACAAGATCTTCGAATACTTACTTTCACGAAACAAATATTGATAATAATAATGAGAAAACAAGCAATCATAAATATATGCATTCGAAAATGTTCCGTTTTAGTTTTTTCAAAATTTGTATAATTCATATTTTGTTTTTTCTACTTCTTTAATTCCATTGATGTGTACATAAACAAAAACAATACAAGAACTTAACTGACATAGGTTATTATTGAGAAATAGAGACTTCAGTAAAGCAACGACAACAAAGAGAAAACTTTTCTATCATTTCTTTTAGGGTGTGAGTATGGCTTAAAATAAGATGAATCCATACCCACATTCACACTCTTTTTCAGCTAATATTTTAAGCCTTCTGTTGTTGTTTGGTCATGCAGAACATTGAACAAATCATATCATCAGTGAGAGATGATATATAAAGAATAGAAGATCAAACCGTCGACAATCAGCATCTCAACGAAGATTATATTATGACGATGCCGAAATTATCAAACTTCAAAATGAATTTGTATAAAATATCGAAAACTTCAGACATACATAGAGTCAAAAAAAACTTAAATAAAATCGAAGAGAATATTTTCAAGCGACCAAAACAAGCGAATTCTGCTGAATTTTTGAGAAATATATTGAAAACTCTCCCTTGACTTCACAATTTGATTATATATATATATCACTAGGCGATAAACTCTTAAATATTGTCATGAACACTGGTCACTGGATAAAATGAAAAGTTGAGAAACTTGTCGAACGCATTTCAGAAGCTAATAACGAACTACGTAAATATTTTTTTGAAATAAAAGAATGTTGCATTTAATGTACAGTGACTCAGTAATGCTACCAATAATGTGCTCTGCTTTTTTTTTCAGTTTTGATTGTATACCTCACGAAAAAATTTATGCAAGTTGCACAACTAAATGTTATGAACTTGACATTTTTGAACGAGAAGATGCTTTTGAAAAATAGTTTCACTAAAAACTAAGTGAAATTTTGTTACAACGTCAAAACTGATCTTCAATTGATTTAAAGTATTCCACCAATCCAACGACTGAGAACCATCGATCGCGAGAATTTCATTTGAACATCTACAACAATTGTCACTATCTAATTGTTTCAGCGCACAATTGCAACAAAACTAAGATCAAGCATTCATTTTCCGTTTTTCAGCTCTAACAATAACATGTATTCATCTTGAACGATATCTTGCTTCACTCGAGCGTCTACGATGACTGAGGGCGAGTATGGGTATGGATACTGGTGCTTGTCTTCTAATAATTCTGATCCACAATCACAACTAAATCTTTCCACGCCAATACCCCACCCTTCAATTAAGGAAAAATATTCTCAATCAAGAAGACACGAATATTTGACTGAAAATAGGCAATTGCCAACTATTTAATTAGGCATGCAATCAATCATAGAAAAACAATTTTCTATGTTACCACAATCAATTGACGGTTAGAAGAATAAGTGAAATATCTTTACTGTCTTGAACATAAATGTTTATATTGTTATAAGACTTTTGCATCTACTAACAAAAAGTATTTGAATGATTTATTTCAATAATAAAATTACTCTATCATGATATTATGACTTACCAAAATAGTATTCAAGTCTATTATATGTTATTTCAGTGAATAACTGAATAGCTCGTTACAATAGTTATCATAGAGAATGATTTTTTTTCAATTGCAAAAGATAGTATGTTTAAATGTGTTTAAGAAAGCAAAGAGCTGAAAACGTGTTAAATCTCGTTGACAAGTACAAATTAGCAAGGCAAAGCAAGCTCAAGAAAAAAGAACAAAAACTCATATTTTAACTTGAGTTTTGCGTTTTAACACAATTATTAAAATAATTTTAGCAGACGTATTTTATATAGTCGAATGTTAAACTAGGTTTAGACGTCGTTTTTTACAAACTTCAGATAAAATATACAATATAAAAGAATTAAAAAACCTTCTTATAAAAATATATATTCAATTGATTTTCAATAAAGCAATTTCTTATTAATGATGACAATTGAATTCAATAGATTTTGAATAATAATATAGATGTTACTTTTTAACTATATATCCTCAATCTTTATCCAACTTTAGCTACTGAACAAATATAAAAATTGAAATGGTTAGAAATTAATAAAACACCGTATATAAAATCAAACTTACTGATAATATCTAACGAATGCTATTTGCTTCTCTCTTATCTCTGTAAGCTATGAAGAAAAAAAAATCGATAATTGATATGAAGGAAAAATATAAGTGACATTATCATCTACCGAATATATGACTGATTGGATGAATCATGAAAATGAACGAGATAGTTGAATGAAATAGTACAAAGATAAAGAGATTAAGTTAATAAGAAAATCGAAAAGTACATTTTAACGTATTTGTGAACGAGTATATATATCATTTGAATCATTTTTTTCGGACTAGTTATATTTTCTCAGCATAAAGATGTGATAGTAATCAAAATAAATTAGAACCAAGATATTTTATGCACCATATGACTTTCACGAGACCATGACTCATGAAAACTCAAAAAATGTATTGCCAAAAGATGTCAGACAATAGAAAATCACAGAAGCATGATTTTTGTATTTCAATTTTTCTATAATGAATTGATACTTTTCTTCGCTTACCTATATGAAAGTTTTTTTTTTTTATCGAATATATTGTAGAACTCGCCTGTGATTCATCGAAAAAAATTACTATATATGTAATTAGGCGAAAACTTCATTTTGTACGAAGTATGCGCATTCATTTTGTTGAGGTAGTTACACTTCAGTCGTTTCTATTCAGTCAAAACAAGCTTTTTTTGTTTACGAAGTGCTTCATATGTGTAATTACCTATTTGTTTAAGTTTCATCGGTTGTTTATAAATATTAGCAACATAATCTTCATTTAAACTGAAATGGTGGAAAATCAGTTAAATGGCAGAATAATTCATCTTATAAGAACAAAGTAACTATATGACTCATAAATAACTAATATTCATAATAGAGTTCACAAAGTTGAAATTTTTCTCACGAATTACAACGGAAATATCATATATGTATGCCGCTCGTACAAGGTGGGAATTTCCAACCATATAATTGTGTCTATCAATGATGCTCATTAGGATGGAGTGCAGCGACATTATAAGATACAATCAATATATCAAAATTAATATTTCTATCGAATCGTGTCGTGAATAAGAAAGGTTTATCTTTCGTATAAGTTACAAATTTATAATCACATAATAGCTAGTAGAATAAGGAGCGGTACTTTACATTTACTTTACTAGAAACTTGTTCACTTCCATTTATCTGTTTACTAGTAAATAGACAAATAGCAGTTTGGAAGTTCGTACTAGTGAGTAACTTTGGAGATACTTGATTACAACTAATTTAAAAGTACAGTAAATCTGTCACTCCTAATTAGAATTTTAAGCGATGTAGATATTATAACTTTTGTCTCAAGCCTCGACGATTTAGTTTGATTTATTACTCCATCGGAAACGACATTGTGTACAGAATCTTATTTGTTAGTGTACACGATTTTTTTTATTAGTGCTGATTAATAAGAATGTAAGTATGACTGACGACTATACGTAAGATTGCTGTTCGTTGTAAAATAATAAGCACACAAGTTTTGTCGATAAATATATTGTTCAAACAAAATAGATCGAACAATTTCATAAATGAGCGTAATAATAATTCAAAAAAAAATTTCTAAAACGACCATCCGAACATACTAATAAGTGCTTCTCATAGAGAAAAGAGTTTTTTTTCTGTATAATGACAAAGCTATTTTTAGCTTGACTTTCAAAAAATTCAATCATCACTTTCCTTTAGGAAAACCTTTCATTTAGTGAGATTGTGGATGAGTACTCACACCGAAGACACCTTGCGAACAGCAACCATGAAATTTAGTCAACCTGAAACTTTCTTACTATTGTCAGTCTTCGCAAAATTTTGAAATTCCTTTCAGAACTATAGAGAATAACGGAAGTGAATTCACTACTATCTCTAGCTCTGTATTATACAAGCTGTCTATGAGCCTACAGCTTCCTGAATTAAAGAGTATCTCTCCCTTTTCCAGACTCGAGATTTTAGTTTTTTGCCGCCATAGTATAGTCTCAATCAGCATCTATCTACTGACTACATTTTGAGACCCGAATATTGTCTTTAAACTTTAAAAAATTAGAGAAGAGATCATATTTATGAAACGAAAATAGAGACAACCGTATATTTTGTCGTGTTTTTCTCAAAACAAGTCTTCTATGAAAAAAAAAGTGCAAAGTCGTCCCCATTTCTCTAGTGTGATAAGTTCGATTGAGCTGAATTTTTTCACATATACAAGCTATTGACGAATATTTCTGTTAAATTTCACGAATATAAACTATCTCCAAGTTATCCATTGGAAAAATGTTTTGAAGAGAAAACATCTACGTTTTAGTTTTATGCTCTGGATTAGTCGAATCGAAATCAGTTACGAACCATGAATTCTCAAGTCGTTTTGGACTCTCAATAATATAATGATAAATATTGATACCTGTCCCAGAAAAGTGCATGTTATCTTTCTGATATGAAATCTATCTTTTAATCTACTTTCATCAATAACGATAAGCTAATTATTCATGAAATACTTACTCTGACAATTCCTATTATGTTTAAATTGTAGTATAATTTGTTTTCTCGTACATTCAATTCACCTACTCTATCGGCAATAAAATAAAATGACGATGATGTTGTTATTGTGGAATCTTCGATGGTTGATTTTACTTTTTATATTAGAACAACTTAATGGAGAATATGTAAGGGGAACTTGGCCTTCATTAAACTCTTCCACCGTACAACTATTAGGCCTTTTTCAAGATGAAATGAACGGATCTAAATCTCTCGCATTCTCGATTCATTCTCGCGCTATGTTCAAAGCAGCAATCTTACTTTCTCAACAATATGATATAACAATTGAAGGACAATTCATAGAATGGCAAATTGCACAAACTAGTGGCAAAGCAATAAATACTATAAGTAGTACATGTCAAGCAATGTCTGCTTCTAACATTGTTGGTATTGTGGGTCCAGTATTTTCAAGAGAAACTCCTATTGTTGCTGATTTGGGTGACAGAGTTGGTATACCTATTATATCATATGCTGCAACAGATCCTGATTTATCTGATCGAAATGTTTATCCTGCTTTTTATCGTACAGTTCCTTCAGACAGTATGGCTGCATCAGCAATTGTAAAACTATTTATTCGATTTAATTGGACTTCATGTATAATTATTTATCAAAATGATGCATATGGATTTGGTGGTGCAAAAGTAATGACTGAAGCATTTATTAACAATAATTTGATAGTTGAACATGCATTAGTATTTGATATAGCAACACTTCGTATGCGAGATAATTTGAAAAATGTTTTAATTAGTAGCTCAACACGAATTATTGTATTATGGGCTGTATCAACTTATACATCTTTAATTTTACAAAATGCACTTGATTCCGATGTACTTGGTCCACATTTCATATGGATACTAAGTTCAAGTGTTTCATTAAATTCTTTTAATGAAACGTTTAATCAAAAATTAGTTGGAATGCTTACTGTTGAACCTACAGTAGCAAATGTTCTTCATGCATCAATTAATACAACATTATTAAATGCAGCATATAATATTTGGAAACAATATGAACCTGAAACATTTCCTAACTCAACAAAAGTAAATTATTACGCATTATTTGCATTTGATGCAACATGGCTATTGATTCAATCATTAAAAGAATTATGTTCAAAAACTGCTTATAGTTCTTCTCCGTGTATATCATTTATTAATTCTTCATTCTGCTTTGATCGTCATTTTCTCAATACTAATTCATTTTTTAACATAATTAATAATATGACATTTCTTGGTGTCTCTGGTCCTATACAATTTAATACTAATGTAACAGATCGAATAGATGGCAGTTATTATCTTGCACGAAACAGTCAATTTTCTTCAAATAGACTAAATTTTGTACCAATATTGAAATATTCTAGTCATGATGGTTGGCAAGAATATTCAAAAGAACATGTAATTATCTGGCCAAAAAATTCATTAATACCCCCTACTAGTAGTGCAAAACTTGCTGGTGTTAACTTAAGAATTGGTGTGATTCAATCAGTTCCATTCACAATGGTTACCACTGTAGCAAATGAATTTGAACAGAATCCAACAAATTTCATTGGTTATGTACCTGATCTTATTGATCTTCTACAGAATAAGATGGGATTTATTCCGCATGTTGAATTACTACCATTAAATCGAACGTATGCTTCATTAGGGCAACTAGTAGAAGATCGTGTTTATGATATAATAATAGGTGATGTAACAGTGACTGCTACAAGAAGAGGAAAGGTTGAGTTCTCAAATTCAATATTTGATAATTCTTTACGCATTATTATGCGAAAAACTCCTGATGTTGATATAGATCTCTTTGCATTCTTGAAACCATTCTCATGTAACCTCTGGTTATTGATCTTCGCTACTACTATTTTTGCCAGTATTTTAATTTGTCTAATAGAGAGAGAAGAAAATCCAACACTACAAAATAGATCAATAATTAATTTATGTGCAACAAGTGTGTGGTATACTTTTGGTAATCTTGTAGGATATGGTGCAGATTTTCATGTTAGAACAGCTGCTGGACGTTTATTAACTGCTGGTTTATATATATTATGTTTAGTATTAGTTGCATCATATACTGCAAATTTAGCATCTAATCTAACAATATCAAAATCGAAGGATATTATTTCTGGAATTGATGATATTAAAAGTGGAAAGATACCATTCAATCGTATTGGTATTCGCGTAGGTACAGCTAGTGAAGAATATTATTTAAGAGAAATCTCTGGAGGTAGACAAAATTATTATCCATTGAAATCTCGACAAGAAATATATGATAGTTTATTAAACAATGTAATTGATGTATCTTTCCATGATACGGGTGTTGCAGAATATGTAACTAATAATATATATTGTAATTTAACATTGGTCGGTGAAGGTTTTGATAAAAGTGTATTTGGTATTATTACACCTAAACAATGGTTATATGAACAAGAGTTAGATGTTAATATATTATCCTTAAGAGAGTCAGGTAATCTTGATACTTTGCGAAGAAAATGGTTTCAAGTACAGAAATGTTTTGATTCACCGGCAACATCTATTGGAATTGGAATTGAATCATTGAGTGGATTGTTTATAATGTTTGGAGGGATGTGTGTTCTATCATTATTATTATTTGTATGGAAGAAACGAAAAATCTCATGGACAACAACATGTGAACAATTGAAAGATAATACTGTACTGTTATCCAATATCTCGCATTATTAGCTGGAAACTATCTGTATATTTAGAATAAACTTTTGCTACAAAATCAATCAATATAAATTTGAAATAATAATATGTATAAACTCTGAAGATCAGCACTTCATTATCTGATCTTATTTTCTGTCCAGCTAATAAAATTTGTGTTAATAGTTTAATTTTTCTAACGTTCTTTTATTTTTTATGATGAATCGACATAAGAAGCATTAGTCAAATGAAATTGATTTATGTGGCGCAAAACGTAATATGGTCGAAATCTCCAGACGTATGTCTCAGCGTATTTTTTTTACAAGGAATCTGAGAAGAAAGAAAAGTCAAAAACCAAGCAGATCCAAAAAAGCATTTGCAACTTGAAACATTTTTGTTTCTCGATTATCTCAGGCTACATGGACTAAACTTTCACATAAAGATACACCGAAATATAGCGTATCAAAAACTCTATCAATATCAACATTTTTAACAATTTTTTGATCTATTTTTGACTCTTGAATCGAAAAGAGTTGAAAGCTAAAATTTTGTGAAAAATACACTTTTTATGAAAACTACTAGCTTAAAAGAATATCAGCTGTCATCTTCAAAAAAATATATATGAAGTTGATTTATTTCGCATTATTTGTTCGAAATGTTAGATCATAGAAATTCTACAGAAGAAAAAGTTCAATGAATATTTTTTCACTGCAACAATATGGCCAAGTAATGAGAACATATCCATATTATGTAATCTCTTCCAGAAAAAGCAATGTGTTCATATTGAAAATATATGCAACTTTTAGCTTCCAAAACACAATTAGAAAGAGCGTTTTTTAGCCTACAAATAATCATCATTGAAAGTGTTTTTCATTTTCTTTCACCATTAGAAAAGTTAATAGGCATTAACAAAAACTGATAATGCTCGCTGGCTAAGTTGAAGTAATGTTTTAAAAGGTGTTTGGTTCTTGACTTTTCCCTCTTCTCAGATTTGTCCTGGGAAAATATAGCTGATACAAAATATGTAGTTCAGACATGACTCTTTTTAACAAAAAAAAACAAGTTTTATTCCCAAGATGGTCTTAAGGGAAGAATTATGACTGGAAATTTCGGCAATTATTTTTTTTTTTTTTTTATTAGCAAACAACACTCCCTACAACCATTGCGGTCCTAAAGGGACAATGTATCTTTGAGATTGCGTATATCCCAATGAGAAGCAAAAAACTTACTAAAAATGAGGTAATAAAGAGACATAAAAAGCAACCAATGTTGCGAACGGTATCGAGAGATACTTGAGCACATGACAAGAGCAAAACATAAAAGCGAAAAGAAGAAAAGCAGCGTGCGCGCTTTGGTAAGAGCAAAATGTGCATTTTCTTTTGTTTTTGTTGCCAACACTAACATATCAATCACGGGTAGGCTGTGTTGTAACCAGTTCGTTCCCGTTAAGCTTGCGTAATATGTTATTCAGCTGTGTATTTTGTTCATTCAAGTGATGATCAACGAGATTTTTTAGTTCTAAAACTGTTTTTTTGGCTTTGTCTTTATCACTACGACTATCCACCTGCTCACTGATGGTAGATATCCATGGCGAGTTTTCAAGTACTTTCTTGTACAACCAAGGCCCAACACACTTTTTTCCGATTTTGATCAGGACAACGAGTACCGCCCCTATACCCAACGAGAGTAATATAAATTCACGCCACGATCGATGTGGTCGAGGTGCTCCAACAAGATGGTTTTCTAGTTCTTTAGTTTTTTCAATCACTTCTTTTACATGTGATGAATTAGCGTAGTTATTGACAATAAAATTGAATTTGTTTTCGAACTTCTTCAATTTATTATTATGATTTACGATTGTGTTGATTAATCCTTGATTTTTATTCTCATTTTGGAGATGATCNGAAAAACGAAAATTGTTACTCATGGTATTACAACTGAGAAAGGAGGTACTTGCAGCGACGGGATGTGGGTGTAGTTGAGTGTGGTTGCTTGCTGCCTCTTCGCCCACACCCTTAAAAATGCTAAGAAAATATTGTAGAAAAAAAACTGACCACAGAAAACGTTCGAGGAATACTGTTTCACAGACATGACTTTGAAGATTCTTGACTGATATTTCATAGATTTCGATCAGAAGAAGTATGGTTTGGATAAGAGCTAAAACCATCTAACGAACCAGTATTCAAGACTGAGTAGACGCTATTGAATATTAATTCTTTTTTTTTTTACTTTTTTTCGTCGAAAAAATATTCCCCGATCAGCCTCCGAACTAAGCCAAAAAATGTATCTGATCGAAAAGTATTTTCACTAGTGGAAAAAAGTTCTAAAGCTGCACAACGATACTAGAACACGAAATAGCGTATATCTAAACCATCAAAAGATCGTTTTGACGAGGTTAATTTTTTTCGCCTAATCTTGTGACGAACTATGGTGAGTTTTTCGACGTAAAGTCAATGAAAACATTTAAAATTCACATAAGTTTACTCAGTATTAGGCACTGATTCATCAGATCATTTTAGCACTTATCTAAACTATACTTCTTTTGATTGATATCTACGAAATATCAGCCAAGGACCCTCAAAATCATGTCTGCAGAGCTGTATCCCTCAGACATTTTTCAGTGGTCAGTGTTTTTTCTATCATATTTTCTTAGCATCTTTGACCGCAAAAAATCTTTATCAAACTGTGTGAAAATCAGCGTAATCGATTACCACACTGGTGGCTAAATACATCTGGTTATCAACAGCAGTCAGATATAAAATACTTATTGACTATTTCAAATTATCTACGTTCAGCATAAACAGACAGAGCAGAGTCCATTTCAACAGTGACCAGTTTCGAAACTCTTGTGTAATAGTTTTGTGTAGAAAAACCAAATCTATCGAGAGGATCAATTCTATAATGTATCGAGCCTTTTCTTTGTGTTGATAACCTCTCCATGTTGGTAGTAGATTTGATTGTTTACATATATCCTGAATATTTATTCTGAACTCTTTATCTAATTAATCATAATTAAATGACATCCTGCAAAACTAACTCAGATGAGTCAGTTTTCTAGAAATAAATTCAACTGATGCGATAAAATTTACAAATCAAAAAAACAAAATTACGCAGACCTGGCAGACCTAATGGCCTGGTTGAGGCTCTGTTATAGTATAAGAAAAGTGAACAATGATTACTGGGCACTCTATCGTCTGGTTCGATCCCGCATGACCAATTTCGACTAGTATCACTTAAGATACAAAACCTATCGATTGCAATTGCAACAAAGATTCATCTTCTTCTAACAATGATAATAACCTTTGGAGACCTTTGTTTTTAAATATAAAACATTCGCTTGATATTGAGTTCTATATTATTCAATATAAATCTATTGATAATAAATCAAATATGAAATCTAATATAGTTTTCTCAAAATTTTTTAGTTCAAAACTAAAACTTCTTCAATTTCGATGATGGTTTTTGTTGATGAAGACAAGTTAACCAGCAATGGAATTTTTTTGTTTTGTTTTATTATTGTATATAAAAGAGATGATAATTTCTTATTTAACCATAGGAAAAAAAATATTTTAACAAGAATAATATATTTAGTTAGTCGACAATTAGTTTAATTACCATTTTCGAAATTCTCTTTTTCTTTTTTTGTTACATGAAAGATTCTTGGATATTTTCATTTAAAAAAAAATAAATTAAATGATTAATAATAATTTTAAAAAAAAAGAGGTTTTTGATTGAAATTCTCAAGATAATTAAATAAATAAAACTGTTTAAATTGAGTATAAATATAGATATATAAAACTGTCTAAGTTAAATCAATAAGAAAAAATAGATTAATTACCTATAGGTTGATCGATTTTATACATATGAATTGTTTGATCAATTGGTAAAAGATAATTGACAGAACATTGAGAAGTTTCATTTTTAAATAAAGATATATTTTGATAATCATTATTAATATATGTTGAGTCAATTGTAAAATTAAAACGAAATGTTTTTATTGGTTTATTATTATTTAAATCATTTTTAATTTGTATTAAAGATCTACAAAAAGCTTGATAAGTACATCCACATTCAGATCTTAATGCACATTTTATAGCAAATTGTTTATTTGAACAAAAAGCTAAAGAATATTCCATTGAATCACTTTTATATATATGACCATAGATTGAATAAGATTTTAATGATGGTAGATAAAACATTATACTAAGAAATATTGTTGCTAACATTAATATTATATTAAATATAAGACGAAAACGACGAAGACGATCGACGAATAATCCTAATAATGGATTTGTTAGAAATACAATAAATGGTATTATTATATTTATATATAAGATTTCAATATCACTGAGACCACGATTTCTTAATGTTATATTTAATACAGGAAGAAGTGAACCAAATGTTGAATATAAGAAAAAATAATGACTTTTAAGATATATATAATAACGATTTAGACATGATAACGAGTTATTTTCATCGACTCTATTATTATTATCATTATCTTCATTTCGTTTTAATATTTTTTTAAACATTTTCGATTATTTTATATTAAATTTCGTGTTTATTTAATAATATTATCTAAATATTAACATAGATTTAACATTTCAAAACTATTTATTACTATTAAGAATTTTAAATAAAAAATAAAAGAATTTCAATAAATAAATTCGAATAAAGACCTATAATAGAATTATATAAGTATGTCAAATATTTACTTTAATTCTTTGACAATTCTATGAAATGAAACGAATCAAGTGACAAATACTGATAAAGAGAGCTTCTCTTCAAACATTTAATCAATTGATCACTTTTGTTTTACAGTTTGAGATATGAAATTCTGTAATATTTATGCCATTGAACTACATCATTTGAAAAGGTTACACGAACTTCTGCCCGAGCAATCGGGTCGCCCTTAAATTGATCTCATTTAATCTCGTTCTCTCTTACAAAAAAAAACTAGTCTTTTTACACTTGAAATTGTCAGATATCATAATGCTGTGCAAAGGATGATAATGTTCAGCAAGGTGGGTGTCAGTATTGATGTGCATTTTTTCTTTAGTAATACCTACATCCCACGCCCTTACGAGGTCAATTTAAGGACGCATCGAAATTTCCGTGGGATGAAGTGCTGGTCTTCCATTTGAAAGACATTAAATGAGATGTTCATTGAGACAAACTCATATTATAATAGTTGATAATTACATTTCAGTTGTTTTTATTAAATAAATGTCTAATCAATATGAGTTCAATTAGACGCTAAGTTAAAACAATGATATCTAAATGATTGAACGAATATAAATTAGAGATCAACAAAATCACTGTTTTTCTGATTCCGACCAAATTTTTTATTAGTCTCGACTCAGGTTACAATTAAAACTTTGTATAGCTTCTGGTCCTGATTTCGTTTTTTAAAAACAAATCAGTTTTTGGAGGATAAAGTCTGACTTTTTAGATTTAGACTCCTATCCGCAAATAGTAACGACGTTACTTTTTTGAAATATAGATAAGTTCAATAACAATATTAAATACCTCATACTTGAAATGAAAAAACAACAAAAATAAATACATTATCAAAAGAATGATTAAATTAATATTGAACAAAATTTTTGTAGATTGTACAGATTCGTCTATTTAAAAACTTATAGAAATCAGAATCGGGATCAATGAAAGAGTTTTATCGAATTCGTGAATTAAAATGGACGATTTGCATATTCTTAGTCACAACAAAATAATAGACATGAAAATGTATAGTCTAGTTCGAGATAAAAAAAATCCCCCGAGATCAATTTGAATAGCTAGAAGTTCCGCAACCAGGAACACTTTGCAGATGTCTAATTTAAATATCTATTATAAATAATAAGAAGTTAAAAAAATACTTAGGAATAATCTCAAAAACAAACGTTGTCCGATGTTTGAAGGTTGAGTTTGATTGTTAAGTTAAATATTCGTTTTTTCGTTGATATTAAATCTGATGAAACTCGTTCGGATTGATCTAATTTTCTAATAGATTCCATCGAGATCTATCTTTTAAATAATTTTATTCAATTATATCATTTCAATAAAGACAAAATTCGAATATGTCTAAAATATTAACTTGCATGAACTATTTATCTTTGAATAAAATTTTCGTTAGATTGAATTTAACCCATTGAGAACGGAAGACGTATATCTACATGCATACGGTTTAGAACCAACTTCTTATTCATCTACGTGTACATTTTACGATCTGCATTAGTACATAGACTGTTCATCTTTTACATTATCATCTATATATTAAGAGTTTGTCTAAGGGATTATCGAGTCCAGAACTAGATCCGATGGACTCTAGTTGTCGATTGTCTTCGAAAATTTGAACTCGATGGTCTCTGGTGTTTGCACCAATAATGAAAAGATCTACATTATTTGATATCAATATGAACAAATATATTTCATCAAGATTTCTAAAATCGGATTTGTTTTATTAAAAGGCAACAATTTCTTTGCTAAGTAAAATTTGCATTTGCTCAGTAAACAATTTGAATACTAAGTGAAATTATTGAACGTCCAGTCAGTTTAATTTTTCTCTGTAATAAAAATAACTTCTAAGTTTAATAATTAATATACAAGTAAAATATTTTTTCGTTAAGTTAATAAATTGAAATCATAGTTATAAAACAAATTCAATAAGTAAAAATTATTACTACTAAGTACTTTATGATTAAGACAAAGTAAGATTATCAGAGATAAAATGGATATTTTTTTTTCTGGTGGTATGGAGTATACGTTTTCTCTCTCTTGCTTTTCTTCTGTCAGTGTTGACGTGGTACTACTACATTTGTATATTCCACCCATTTTTTCTTTCATTCTCTCAGGTATTTTTCCCTATTGTTTTCTCTTGGTTTTTTCCTGCTTGAATTTCTTATGTTAAATCTAGCACTTTAGGTATTTTCTTAGATATCCTATATTATATCTTGGAATATTCCATTTATCCCAACCTATAAATATCTACTAATAATATATATGCCATTAAAAATTTATTTCGATTTTAAAAACAATGGCAAATATTTGTCGCAACACAACAATATGAAAGTTCATTAGAATCGGACAACGAAATGGAAATCGACCAAAACGATATTCAAGAAAAGAAAAGAACTCGACGTAAATTTCAATAGATAAAAAACCCAAGCTTTATTAATACAATATCTGTATAATTAAATTTTTTACTTATATATTTATGCTTCGTTGCTTAGCAAAATTTGTATACTTACCTAGAGATTTACAATATTTTGCCTAGAAAATCAAATTTTTTCCCTTAGAATTTAAATAAAATACTTAGAAATATTTTCAATAAATTGCTTAGCAAAAATTGAATTTTCTAGTTAATTTTTATTAAAAGTTACTTAGCATTTAAATGCGAGCCTTATTAACATGAATTTGGTTCTCGACCAAGTTCATATTCTTTCAATCTCATAATACAAACAATAAATCTATTTGATGTTCTCATGAAAATTGAAGAATCTGATATAAAAATGAAATATTTTATTAACTAATTCAGTTACCTCTTTGTAGAATTATGATCGAATGCCAACGTAAAAACAAAATAAGACTTCTAAGAAAATACTTTCAAATAATGATAATACGAATCGAATTTGATTCCAAGTTAATCTAATACAGGAATCTGAGAGTGTCGAAAAAAAAATCGTTAAGAGCTAATTCTTTGATTCTATGTAGATATAAATGGATGTTATTTTCTGGTGTGTTATTATCTCTACTCAATATAAGTATCTTATCTTTTACTCAATAGTATAATATGTCATTGATAGGGCACTCGGTTTTTTTTCGTTTATTTGTACTTAACGTATAAAAAATCAATTTTGTCACGTGTGTGCAAACATGTCTATTATTTAACAAATCTAGAAGTTAATTATTATCAACATGATGTGTAAAAACTTGACAAGTTGAGAAAATCTTTTAAGAGTTTTTGTCGATAAAAAAAAATATAGAAGTTGAACGATGTCACTACAATACAACTGAACATAATTTATTCAACAATTCATACATTCATAAAAAACGGTCTCTTTTAAAACAAAAACGAATATTTATAACTATTTTTTCAACAATCTGATAACAAAACACAAAAACAAGAGAAGCAATTTAATCATTGATTGTTCTGTTCACAATCGATTTCTAGTTTATTTATATAATCAATAGTAAAAGGCTAAAACAACATTGACATTTTCAAGATAATGTTCCTTATTAATCTTTGAGAAATATATTTTCATAGTTATTTTAATCTTATAGTTCTATTGGACCTTCATGCCCTACACACCCTTTTTGTTTTCAATCGGTTTTATCGCGAAACTCTAGTCAAATATTTGATTTTTTTCTCATTTTATTTATCGATTTCTGTTATCATAATTATAATCTGAACTGATGGCTTCCTTAACTTTTTATTTTGTTTAATATTCTTCTGAGAACATACTTTTCTTCTATTCAACATTCGTTGCTTTAATTTAATCGTTTCTTTTTTATTAATAAATGAAATATTTTGTCTTTTCTGTGGTTATGGAAACATGTTTCCTCGTTTATACAAAATTTATAGTAGTTTTTCATAAAATCAGACAAAAATGAGATGCAGATCTAATAATAATTTCAGTGGAAATAAATTATAAAATAGCAAAAAGATATATGGTTTAGTCACGAGAAAAAAAAACTCTATCTTTGGTTTTATTTGTCATGTTCACCTCGTTCTGTAAAAGCTGTCAAGTTTGTATCTAATAAATGAAAATGGTTGACTAAATAAATATTTATTTCGATTTTAATTCTTAAAGGATGATAATCAATTATGAGAGATTATTCTTGCAAGAGTTTATCTACACAGAATAAATATAAAGAATTCATCGTTTATTAACTAAATTTGTGAACAAAACTTGCTGATAAAAGAATCAAATTCATTCTATAAAATTCAGTTGAAACTGTTTGACATTTTCTATAGCTATCAAAAGAATGTTTCGTTGCATACGACTAAGTTTATAGTTGATAATATTCCGATCTGCTATCGTTAACGCACAATCACATAATCAGACAATTGTGTCTTTATCATGTTAATTGACACGAAAAACTAGTAAAACTAAATATTATAGTCAAATTATCAAACAATCAATAAATTCTTATTCTATAATGATTTTTCTAAAAATTTTATCTCGTTACCGAAAATAATATTAAATAAATTATTTTAATTTAATTGAATATTGATTTTCTCTTCATTAGAAAATCGTTAATAATATTTATCAATATGAAGCTTTCAATGGAACATACTTCTTCTCGCGTTTATTTTATTTTTCTCTATTTATTTCTTCGTATTATAAATAGTTAGTTTTGATTCATATGAGACCTGTATTAATGCAGAAAATAAATAATTAATATTAAATATTGAAATAAATGTGTTTATGTTAAATTTGGAATAAAACTTAATTTATTTTTTTATTTATATAAAATAATAATTAATTCATCATGATATAGATGGAAACAAGAAAACGTATTTTGACTTTTAAATCTTAACGAGAATGCTATTAACATGAAAATAAATTATATTATTTTAATTATTATCCAGATTAATAAATGCAATACTCGATCGAAAGCAAACTTGAAGCAACGAAACTAAATATGAATTTGTTTCTTCTTGTTTAGAATATATCGCTGTCGACAGTTTTCTCAATGAAATAAAGAAATAAGTCGATGATCACTAGTCTTATCTTAGAACTTCTATATTCAAATAAATATTTTTTTTTTTCACATAACTATGTCTTCAATTAATAAATAAGATTTACTCTCTATTATATGGTAGTGAAACAATACTTTTGTTTTTTAATGAAATTTTTCTTATTTTTCTTGTTAAATAGTTCAAATAATAATTGTTTAAAAATCGAACTTGAATAAGGTAAAATTTTCAGATGAAAAAAAAAGAATTGAAAAACCTATTTATAAAACAAAAACAACATTTTATTTGTAACAATATTTCAGAGATTTTTTGTCTATATATGTACATATGAATATGCGCCATCTTCAGATAACGACATAGGAAGAATAATAAGATATTTATACGTAGTAACCTTTCATCAAGGAGAGGCTCAAATCGAATGTAGAAAATTTGATAGCTACTATTTTTGTTTCGTACTTTTTGACCTCGTTACTCGTTTTACATTGTCTTGGTCATGTGTTCGAATACATTTCGACAAATATATAGAAGAATAACAAATGATTGACAAAAGAAAACATAATATTGAATAAGATTAAAGTTAAATATATTGTTGTCTAATATAAAAACTTTTCCATGTGGTCAGCATCAGGTACTTCAGCTAAGTCAAAGGATTTATCAATTTTGGGAGGAATTAGTGGAACTGGTATAACTGGTCGCTCACGTGATCAAGGATCGACACAAGCTGGTATCGCTGGTGGCAGCAGCAGACAACACAGTAATACAGGAGATGGTCCAAGTATGTGTCGCATTTAAATTATTCAATAATCAAGAACAAATGATTTTACTATTCTGTTAAGTAAAAAGAAACGATGATTCTATTTCACAGATATATACGAGAAAATATTTGTTTTTTCATATAATATGTAAGGTGCAAGCAATTGAAACGTCAAGTGAATTTTTTTCGACTCATTTTTTACATCACTTGATCGAGCTTGAGCTGCTAATCACGAAAAACTACTTTTTAGCCTAAGGGAATGTTTCTTTCTGGTCGAAAAATACGAAATACTCGAAGGGTGTCGTTTTCTTCCAAAAACACATCTTTTCCAAAATATGCGAAATTTTCCACTTCGTTCTTTTTTCCAGCTTCTGAAAATAATTTTTTCAGATTCAACATCAAAAGCTGAGTACAGACAAGTGGTTAAATCGCCTCTAGACCGTTGGTGGTGGCGCTTCGAATCGCGTCAACCATAATGCGTATAGGTGGATTTTGTAAACCTATCTAGTTTTTCTATGTAAACGATGGAGTCAATTATTTTATCTCATTCCATTCATCATACCATCTGTCATCAAGCTCCGTCTCCTTTTCTTTCCTGTGTTGAGAAAAATCGTTTTTACTGTATGGTACGAAAAAGGAGAAGGTCTTTCTTGCATAAAATATTTGTTTTTTACTTAAATCAAGTGAAAATTTGTTCACATAGGTAAAAACTGATGAAGAATCCAATGAAACTAGTTTCAAGATCTGCATGAAGTCTTCAGAGGGTCTCTGGAAACCTTCTCTTGAAAAAACATAGTTTTCTGGTATTAATTGATATTTCATGATCTTTAATGGGCAGATTGGTCAGTCTTCATGCTTGACTATATAGTACGAAAGGCAACATGCAGAATAAAAGTATCGAAAGAGAAAAAAATAAGTTCGTTAATGTTCGTTTATGTTTTTATTTGATATTCTACGATGTGATTGAACTGATTGTTTGATGCAGAGTTGGCTGAAAAACAGTTTTAATACGTCAGCATATGTCTGACATTGAGAATATGTTTGGATTAAACGCCAAAAATGACGGAATAACTTTAATGCAATCTTTCGTTCGACAAAATGTATGCGCGAATCCGATATCAGCCTTACCATTTTTTCAAAGCTTTTATTTGTACGTGTACTAACAAATACCTTTTGGTTGCACTAAAGACCTTCAATTGTGTTTAGTTCACAATGATATTTAGGACATATATAATCTTAATTTTATATTTAATTTCTAACATTTCAAGTTTTGTAGCCTAAATAACAAAATAAATGACACAGAATCGAATATGTCTTGAAAAAACTGGAATGATATTCACGTACATTTTGGAAAGCTCGATGTGTTGAAAGTATTTTAATAATTTCATCTAATTCAATTTTAACTGGTAATTGTACGCCTAAGTCTTTACGTAGTTTAACTAGGTGCGGGATGTCGGCGCCGATCTCTTTATGGACACCCACACGCACCCGCACTCTACACTCTAAATAAAAATCTTTTTCTCTGGAACCCCGAAAAATAGGTTTTCGAGCGTTCGTAAACCCAAATAGGTTTCCAGGCTGATTCTGAAAACCTGAATACGTTTCCGGACTAATCTCGGATACCTTTAAAAGGTTCGTCGAAGGAAAAAATGGGTTTCCGAGCTTCGGAAACCTTAAAAGCGTTTAATATAGTGACAAACCCGGAAACGCTGAAGGGTTTTTGAAAAAGTGACAGTGTTTCTGGATTTTTGAAAACGGATCACTTTTTTCGGAAACCGTGTAGCGTTTCCGGGTTTGTCACTATATGAAACGCTTTAAAGGTTTCCGAAGGCCGTAAACCCTTTATTTGCTCTCAAAAATCTTTTAAAGGTTTCCAAGATGAGCCCGAAAACCCTTTCGGGTATAAAAAATCCGGAAACCTATTTTCCTGGATTCCCGGAAAAACGATTTTTATTTAGGGTGTACACCCACACGCACCCACACTCCACCCTACCCACACCCATCCACAGTATTAGTGATGTTTGATGATGATATCGAATTGCTACTTTGAAGCAGGTCAAAAAAAGTGAGCTCCAAATTGCGTAAACTCCAAATTTGGAGCTCACTTACGCATCCCTCTTTTACTAATTGACCTCACTTAAGGTCATAGTGTTCATAGCAAATAGCAGCGTTCCATCAATCCAAACTCATTCACTATGAACCTTATGTAAATCTAAATTACTTAATTAATTAGTGCTCACCTTAATTAGTACTCACCATAGTAAGTACTCACCATAATTACTACTCACCCTAAATAGTACTCATCTCAATAGGGCTAATTAAAGCAGATACTCATCTAATTAGCACTAATCAAGATGAGTAATCATAAATTCTCAAAGCCTCTCCTATGGAGATACTCACGGGTACTCAAGGCCTATAATATGGAAGTATCCAAATTAGCTCAGAGACTATAATATGGGAATTCCCATAGGTCGTAAAAGGCTGCGCCATAGGGATACCCATAAGTTCTCAAACCCTATCATCTAGAGGTACCCATAAGCCTTCAGTGATTATTTTATAGGAGTACCCGCCCATAGTAGGGCTTTACGGTTCACGCTCACGACAGTTCATAAGCACGTGTTTCTTCACTGGTTGACACCCGTTAGCTATCGACTAATCAGGTCCGAAAAAGCCGTTTTCTTCTCTATTTTAAGGACAGAATACACTATTGTTCGGGTCATATGAAAGAGAAACCTCGATAACCCATCGATCGGCCCGGACAACCCCATGTTTGTCGTTAGAACAAGCGAAAAAATAGCCCTGAAATCTGATTGGTCGAGCTATCAGCCAATCAGATTTTAGTGCCGTTTTCTTCGCTTATTCTAAGGACAAAACATGGGGTTGTTCGGGCCGATGCATAGGTTATCAAGGATCGTCTTTCATATGACCCGAACAATAGTATGTTTTGTCCTTAAAATAGAGAAGAAAAAGGCTTTCTCGGACCTGATCGGTCGAACCGATAGCCAACCAGTGGCAAAATGCTCATGCTAATATGAGCGGTTCATAAACCTGAGCGTGAACTGTACAGCCCTTATAGGTACCCCCATAGCATTCACCTTGTGGACCTATGGGTATTTCCATTGGATAGGCGTTCATAATGAATTTGGGTACTACCTAGCTTTGAGCTTGAGAAGTTTTCAATACTGAGATTAATTAATCCTGAGTAGATGAGTACTTTCTTTAATTAGTCTTAATTATATGAGCACTAATTAAGGTGAGTATTAATTAATTTACAGTTACATTATGCTGATAGTCTGTGACTGGAGTTGATGATAGTGCTATATTCGCTATCAACTATAAAGCATGAACTGATGTCAATGGGTAAAATATGGATGCGTAAGTGAGCTCCAAATTTGGAGTTTACGTGTAGAGCTCACTTTTTTTTACCTTTGAAGCATTACTTTATCCCCGCATTGTAAGAGCTCGGAGTCTGAAAATAACCTTGACGCTTATTTCTTATCTATATCAAACACCTATATTCACCACTTATCTTTAGTATTTTGGCAATTCATATATTTTGGATTTTTTTTGCCTTTATCACCATGATATAGGTCATTTAAAACTATGAAGTTTTTTCTTATTTCCATCAATAAGCTCTATATTTTTAATAACGAAGAAATGATGATGGCGACTCTTTAAATTTAAGAATGACGTCGTGAATGAGAACAATAACGTATTTTTCTATAATAGATATAAAAATGAAAATTATTAATATTATTCGATTGTTTTTCTTGAAGCTAATTTTTATCATCATCTGTTAATTATACAGACATATTACTCGACATTGATAGTGCTTTCAGGTCTTATCAATTCATTACGCTGAGTGTGGGTATTCTTTTCTCTGACATTGACACCCAAACTTTTGTTATAACTCTGTGGGGTGTTGTGGGTATGCATGAAGAGAAGAATTGCACCCACACCCACCGACACCCAAATCCACACCCACACCCTCGTGTAAATCATTATTAGTCTTCTTTCTGTACCACCAGGAGTTTTATCACCTTGATTCAATATAATCAAGTGACTGTTTTCGTCATGTATTATCGAAGAATGTAGGTCATTATCATCTTCACTGTTTGAAACTTGCCTCTTCATTACTGTTGAACTTTGTTTAATGGTTTCAATTGTTTATTTTTTTCAATGTTTGCATCGTGACTACATAATTTGTCACGCTCAGACGAAATTAAGTTTCGATACATTCGCCCATCAATAATTGGAGTTGTTAGTTATGAAACCAATATACGTACAGTAACAATAAGACAATAAATGTAACTTTTATAACGTGAAAGATGAAAGAAAATAAATTGGTACGTGTACAGAAGACGTAATAACTGTTTGCACAAAAAAGAAAGAAAGAAAAAAGAAAAGAGAAGAAATGTTACCCTTACATGCAAAGGAAGAAGAATGATACATGATCATGTGCTATTTTGCGTATATGGATGAATGCACACAGGCGGAACTTATTTTTTTTTAATATCTATATAAACAACATCATAGCTTCATTTTTTTGCATAGATAAATTTGATTCATTACATCGCTATTCTGTTTATCAGTACAGAATATTTCGCAAGAATACACTAAGCAAATGTAAGTTTTTTTCAAATTAAATCCTCTTCAGAAGACATTTTTCATTATCAGTATCCAGCGGATTTTTGTTACAGCTTCTATCGACTTTTAGTCAAATAGATATTATTTTCTGTCTTGCAAAAGTTTTCTTTATTTCAAGTAAGCGCATGTACATATATATAGTAGAGAAGAAAAGGTGATGATTCTTAGGTTTAATCCTACCTAAGATATACTTGGAAAAAAAAGATGTTATAAACTTTTTGAAGTTGAAAAAAAAACATAGTTTGAATCACATAGATCAAAGAAGAGGAAAGGACAAGAGAGAGAAGAAAAAATACCATCAACGAAAGAAACGAACGAAATGACAGAAAGAAAGAATATTATATATCACACATGTATAGTGAATATCTTTTTTGTTCGCTTACACCTCACCGTCCCAACCAGATGTGGCGTAATCACATCGATGAAAACAACAGATGAAAAAAAAACGAAGAAGCATAGAAAATATTCGAAACATCGTCAGAATACAAAAGGATAATAAAAAGCGAACAAATTCAACTAGTCAAAATGAGTTATATGTAGGATAGTTAAAAGATTTATGAAAGAAAGAAGAAAAGAAAACAAAATATGTGTAAGGTTTTTCTTTTACTTGGTTAATAATGTTGTCATTGATATATTTTTTATTGAATATTAGTGTATATTCTTAGAGAGTTGCTACGCTCTCAATACACTACATAACAAATTGTCTTTGCGGTCCAAAATATTATTATGTAAAATGTCCACAAGAAATCTATCTTCTTATAAATGTTGTGTAATGCAGCATATTGGATTATTTTCGTCCGAGAAACGGTTTCATTTGTGATGAATGAATTCGTTTTGTTTTATCATGAATATCACTAACATCAAATGTTTGTGGTCCCAGTTGTTTGATTGTCGTAAATGATCCTTCATATAGTTCTCGAAATGTCGGGTGCATACCTGGTTTAATAATAAAGATTTATTGCCCAATCATGAATTGTATATTTGGTCTATTTCGATCATAGCGACGTTTTGCATATCGTTGGTGTTGTCGAATTTTCTTTCGTACTTGATCTCTATAAACTTTTTTGAGCTGAAGAAAATTATTCCAATAATCATTAACTCTTGGAATAGTAACTTGTGATTTTATAGGATCAAATATAAAGAAGGGTTTCCTTTTATGAAATATTTGAATGGTGTAAATTGTGTTACTTAATGAACAGCACTATTGTAAGAGGAAACAATAGTTTTAAGATAAATGTCCTAATCATCATAATGTTCATTTGTATATTTAGCCAATTGTTGTTTAAACGTTGCATTGAATCTTTCAATGATTCCCTGTGATTGAGGATGGTAATGTGTCGATATTGTATGTACACATCCAAGTCGTTTGGTAATTTCTTCGAATATTGCGGATGTGAAATGTGAACCGCGATAAGTCTGTAGCTGATGAGGAATATCAAACTCTAGTGGAATATTGATAAGAAATTCAGCTGCTGTTTGTGTTGAATCATCAGAAACGGCCTTACTGATTCATATTTTGAGAGATAATCAGTTAAAGAGATGACATACCGATTGCCGTTCGTTGATCTTGGGAGTGGACGTGTAAAATTCATTTGTACCAGATTTAATGCTTCACCTGGAGGTTTATGTCGTCGAATATGGTGATGTGCACAAGCTGAATATGATTGGATATAACAAATCACATCTTGACGAATGATCCGCCAGGAGCAGCGATACTTAAGCCGGAGCCAAGTCTTGTCCCTTCCAAAATGACCAGCTGTTGGATGGTCATGAAATGAATGAAGAATTTCATTTCGTAATGCTATAGGAATAATTGGTACATATTTTCCATTGCTTAATCGCATGCTAAGAATTCCATTTATTATTGAATGACGATTCTTAGGTTTGTCATCAAGTTCATAAATTATTTGTTGAATTTCTTGATCGTTATTTTGTTCATGTTTTCATCGATGAGGATAAAGAGGTGATAGCATTTTTAAACGAAAAGGTGTTGATGATGTGCTAAATGATGGTGTAGTTGATGAAAAATCTTGGGCTGCCATATTTTGTTCTTTTGTTTTTTGATCTTGTCATCGCAATATATATACCATCGAATTCATCATTAACTTCTTCACTGATTAATGGATGACGTGACATGTAATCAGCATCGCAATTTCTTGTTTCAGGTTCATGTTTAATTGCAATAATATCATAATCTTGTAATTGTAATTTCCAGTTGTTGACTTTTCTGTTTGTGGATGAGCGATTTAAATGGATCTTTCGAGCTGATTGTTGATCAGTTTCGAAAGTAAAAGATTCATCAGCAAGATAATCTCTCAATTTTGTTACTGACCAAACAATTCCAAGACATTCTCGTTCAAATGTTGAATAATTTCGTTCTGATAAATTTAATGTTCGAGATATATAAACAATTGGCTTGAGTCAATCAGGTGTTTGTTGTTTTAAAGCACCAGCAATGTTAAATTGTGATGCATCTGTTGAAAGAACATACGGATAATTTTTGTTTGTTTTAGCATCACGCATGGGAAAATTTAAACAAACTGGTGGTATAGTCAATGCTGTATTCAGACCATCCCATGCCATTTGCTCTCGTTCGCCCCAATAGAACTTCACGTTTTTCTTTTGAGATGGTCGTAAAGGACGAGTTAAGTCAGTAAAATTATGTATAAACTTACGATAAAAATTTGCCGTTTGAAGAAATGAATGAACCTGTTTTGTTGTTCTTGGATTAGGCACTTTGACAACGGCATCGATGTTGGTGTTGAGTGGTTGAAATCCATTAGCATTAATTGTATGTCCGAGATAATCAAATTCAGGTCTTACAAATGAACACTTAGGTTAGTTCAGTTGAAAATTTGCTTTGAGTAATACTGATAAAACATTATTTAAATGATAACAATGTTCATGATTCGATTTCGAGAAAACGATTATGTCATCTAAGTAAATCAAACAGAACTGCCATTACTCATTTACGAGAAGATTGTTGAGCACTCTTTGAAAAGACGGCGAAACATTTTTAAGACCTTGAGAGAGGACGTTAAACTTCCAAAGTCTCCTGCTGGTAATAAAAGCCGTTTTTGGTTTATCTTTTTCGTCAATAGGAAGTCGAAAATAATCACTTTTGAGGTCCATTTTTGAAAAATATGATGATCCACCCAGTTGTTGGATTGTATCTTCCATATCAGGTAAAGGATACGAGTCTTTCATGATTAGTTGATTTAGACGTCGGTAATCGACACAAAATCTATATTTACCGTCTTTTTTCTTTACCAACATTACTGGAGAAGACCATGTAGATTGTGATGGTCGAATTAAGCCAGATCTGTACATGGAGTTTATGTCATTATCAATAATCTGTTGTTTTTCTGGGTTTACTCGATATGCTCTAGAGTTAACTGAACCGTGATTTCCTGTAGGTATTATATGATGTATATGCGTATTTACAATTTTTGGTGACGAAGTATCAAATAATAAATAGTATTTGTAAAGAATGGGTAATAGTGATTGTTGTTGTTCCTGATTAAGATGAGAAATCATTTCATCAATAGTATCTTGTATCTGGATGGGTATTTGTATATCTTCATGGTCATTTGCCTGTTGTTGTGATGATGGAAATGAAATTGAAAAACAACTTGAATTTGGTAATTCGATTTTAATAATTCCAATGGAAGTATTTTTGTTAATAATTCTAGAACGATTTAAAATATTTGTAATTGTCATTATTGCTTTATAGTTTTTCATATTAATCAGTGCATGTAGTATCAGTATTGAATCTTCATATAAAAAACGAGGTTTTGGAATAAATTGTACTGTATCACAATTAGTTAAATCAATAATTTTAACTTCAATAATTCGTTCTTCCATTGGATTCAATTTGAGGTTATCACATATACGAACACGATGATGTTGATTCATATTAATTTCTAAAAGAAGTACAGATGATTTTTTTCCATTGAAAAAAATAAAAAGAGAATTTGTGTCAAAGTCGACGGTAGCTTAGTGAACATCAGATGTAAGCCAATCAAGACCTAAAATAATACCAGTATAGAGATTTTCCAAAACTCAAAGCTTGGCTATTGTACCAACAGAACCAATATCAATTCGCAATTCAACATAGCCCTCTGAGTACATTGAAGCGTTGTTGGCTACTAAAATCGACTTTTTTTCGAATGTAAATAGGTGAAAACAATCTTGAAACTCGTTGTCGAATACATGTTTACTAATAAATAAATGCGAAGCATCAGTATTGAGTAAGACTGTAAATAATCGACCACCAACTGGTACTTTTATGTATGATGATTGTGATGTATGTGTCATGGCAGCACAACCATCATCTTGCATCCCCGCTAATTTTTTTTATAATTGTTAGGTGCTGTTGTTACATATGACCTGGTGGTTGATCTGTGACTTGGTTTATGTTGATTCCAATATTGGTCATTATCGGTTCTCGTATTACAATTTTGATTCAGTCGGTAAACTTGTCGATTCCTGGATCGTTAATGTTGCGATTGATTATGTTGATTATTTTGACGACGATAATAATGATAATTATAATAATTTGATGGCAATGCATAAAAATTACTATCATATTCAGACGGTTTATCGAAAGTAGACGAGACTAATGAAGATTCAATTATATGTTCATTGATATTTTCAATGTTGAGCATGTTTTCAATGTCTTCGGTTCTTTTCATCGTGGTTCTTAGCTCATGTATAGATTGCGGTTGTTTATCGAATACCTTTTGTTGCAATGACGGTTTTAGATCAGCTTTGATGTGTAACATTTTCTCGTATTCCATCATTGAGAGATTTACTGGAAAACAAAGTTTTTCCATAGCATCAATAAATTATTTTAATGGTTTCTCTTGATTACTGTTTACGTTCTGGAAGACGAATAACTTTTTGATTCTTATGTAATGATGATTGGAATCGATGTTGAACTTCCGTTTTGAAGATTGGCTACGATAAATGTTCATAATTTTTTCTTTCAGTAATTGTTGTTCAATGAAGTTGTCATGTTTAAATGAATTATTTTCCAGTGATTTGTGAATAGGTAGTGGTTCTGTTGACGACAAAGTAGATGAAGATAGACCAACGTAAGGATTTTTATCAGCAACCATTGTCAATAAAATTCTATCATGTTGTTGTTTCAACTTTTCACTCACTAATTCTTGAATATTCAACCGTTCTTGGAGTAAAAGTTGCCGTTGTTCTTCAATAATTCTTTATTTTCCATCTGATTCTGCAGCAAACATTTCTTGTAGATGTTGATGTTCTTTGTCAATAGTGAGCATAAATGATAATGTATTTATATTTGTAGTTAGTTGTTCCATATTATTGTCTTGTTCTGAATGGACTTCCTCAGAATCAATATTTGTTGTACGCACTTGTGATCGAGTACGAACTGAAACAGAAGCGTCTATTTATGGTTCCATAAGACCAAGTATATTGACTAATGATTAGACTATTGCCGAGTTCGTTCGTTTTATCGATCATTGTAATTTGATAAACGCGACTAGCGCACCAAATTGTTACAGCTTCTATTGATTTTTAGTCAAATAGATATTATTTTCTGTCTTGCAAAAGTCTTCTTTACTTCAAGTAAGCGCAAGTATATATATAATAGAGAAGAAAAAGGTGATGATTCTTAGGTTTAATGCCGCCTAAGATATACGTGAGAAAAAAGATGTTATAAACTTTTTCAAGTTGAAAAAATAGCATAGTTCGAATCACATAGATCAAAGAAAAGGAAAGGACAAGAGAGAGAAGAGAAAATACCATCAACGAAAGAAACGAACGAAATGACAGAAGGAAAGACAGGATATCATATATCACACATGTTTGGTGAATATCTTGTTTTGTTCGCTTACAATTTTTCTATCCTTAAGTAATACCACTAACGGGGGAACACTCCCAGGTGATCCACTCCGTTTACATTCATAGTATACCCATATGTAGGGACTATTAGATTAGAATAATCTCCAACGGATTGGTGCTCTTGTTAAGACTTGGTTGAAATATGTAATTTTTAGTGGATTCTTGCTATAGGACGTTATTTTTCTAGTAAAATCATATCTTCGAATTTTGATCTAAAACTTTATCAACATGAAGGTCTTGCTATGACTAGCTCATGTATAAAGTTTCATTATTCTTGAACATTACATCACTGACATATGAATCTTCCAAAATATCCATGTTTTACATCTATATATATATACTTTAAAAAATAGGTTTATTACGGAACCTGTATCCAGGGGAAGAACCTATGAGGTTTATTATGAATCTACCGAACTTTAAAAAGTTTTTGCAAAAATATTCGAATCTTCTTTAGATTCAGTAGATTCATACGAAACCTCAAAGGTTCTTTCCCTGAGAACAGGTTCCGTAATAAACCTATTTTTTTTAGGGTGTAGAACAGGACCTTGTTCGAAAAATTTATATTTCAAAGATGCAATGTCTGAAAATGCTTTTGATCAAAATTTGAAGATATGATTTCACTTGAAAACTAGCGTTCTTTAGGAAAAATCCACTAAATATTAGAAATTTTGGCTGAATCTCAACAAGAGCACGAACTGATTAGGTATTGTTCTAATCTAATCGTCTCGTACATATGGACATAATATAAATGTAAACGGAGCGGATTACTCTGGAATGTTTCCTTCTAAGCTTGTGTAGTATTGTTTTCTTATCATAGTAATTATTTTCCTGTAGACAAAAATCTTGGTGAGTTCTGTATGCAATGAGTGACTGACATTAATTATTGTAAGATCATTCTTCTCACCAAGCGTTCGTAGCAAGAATTTTCAATACGTTTTGTGAGTTATAACGCATGAAAAAGTCGTTGAGAATTCTATCCTTTCAGTGTTCGAAGAGGTTTAATTTCGCTAAAAATGATATATGATGCTGTTCAGAAAACAAGTGTTTCAGGAAATCTTCGTGAAAGAGGTTCTCTTCAACTGGGTTTTGTGGAAGAATATGCTTAGGGTATTGTTTTCCGAGCGAAAAGCTTTAATTACATAATAGTTTTTTTTTTATATGAACAATATTCGAGTCAGTAGGTCTTGGAAAAAACCGTATTTTCCATAAAATGCCTCTGTGGTTAGGATTATCCAGAAAAGGGTGTGAGTGTGAGCGCGATGGAAAGTAGACCCACACCGGTACCCAAATTGAAACCAACACTGAAACCCGTATCCATACAAACACTCACACACCCTGGAGCAAGGATCAACTCTGACTTGGGATATGCGACAATAATGTAAACTTATTGACACCTATCAGAAAACCCTACTCACACTCACGTATAATGTTGCGTCAAAATTCAATTGACGCCATTAGCAAGTTGTCCTGTTCTTGCCTTTTCAAAAATGAAAACCATTATCTTTACTAATCGATTCACATCTATTAGGAAATAAATGTTAGCATGCTAGTATCTTTTGTTTCTACACTTTCACCATCATCCAAAGACATCTATTCTCACACCCTATTTCAATTATCAATTAGAGTCATTTCTGTTGCTTCGTAGGATTTCAAAACATTAGATGAAATTGAACATAGAAAATGTTGTTTTTCGAACTATTTTTATAACGTGTTTTAAATATCTAATCCCATCATGACCTTATTAGAGGAGTGTTCCGATTAATACCTTGCACCGAATTTTTGCATAAACGAAGTTTCTCTTAATGAACTGCTTTAAGCTATGAATATTTATTATTTTGTTGTTAGCAGATGATAAGAGAATGAAGTACTGAAAACACGTTTATGAAAATGTTCACCAAAATAGAATATTTTACATTATGCAGTAGATTTCATCAAATTTTTGATGTGCACTGAAGTTTACAAATTATTCTAATTGATGAATCAACTGCTTTGTTCTAGAATTTAGAGGAAGAGTATGGATGTCCTTTGTTTTGGGCAACACTCACATCCACACCCACACCCCTACGCGCTATTTTTTTTAGGCAAGCTTATAAAAGTCTAATATTGTGTGTGTGTACCTAACTCATTTAGCTGTATTAACCGGCAAAATATATGGGTGTTCGTGAGTGTTCGTATGTTTTACAAATACTTCATCCACACCCACACCCTATTTTATGTTAGACAGAAATTAAAGCAGATTGAATTTCAATTTTTTGTCTCGCTGAAATATATTTGTAATCAGTACTAAACTCTTGCCACGAGAAGAAAATCAAAATTTAATAAAAAGAGAAGAACACTCTACTGATTTACTATGTAAAAGAAAATCTAAAACACAAGTGAACTTTGGGATAATTCATCAAGTTTTTATGAAAAGCGGCTACTTAAGAAAAACTTTGCTTTATTGAAAGTCTGGTCAGATCAAAGAGGCATCGACAAAAAGGTCAAGTTTTGATTTAGTTTCAATAATCCCAGAACGTTGAGGTAAGTATGTGATTTAAAAAGTCCATGGCAATGATGAAAGTACATATGATGTGATCAGTGAAGATATTCAGTGGTGATGGATGCTATTTTCCAATTGAATTGACAATTTTCGTTAACTAGAATTTACTATTGTCAAAAATAAATTCTGCATGAGAAAACAATGAAATAGGTTTTTTAGAGTTCAATGCAGGTCTACACATGCCTTATCCCATAATCACTTCTCTTTTTTTTTGAGCCATTCAATAATCACTGAAAAATTTTAATTTATCATAAGAATGATTTCAATTGATTCTTCTGATAGGTTTTACAAAACATACATGTGCATCCTCTGACCTATTATCGGTAATAGGTCAAGCTGTCGTAGAACATTTGAAATTCGTATAAATTACCAGTAGGCTTCAGCATTGAAATATATCATACAATAAACCTCGAATATCTTCACTGTCTTCTGCTAGAAAATATTTAATTTAAGAAAGTCATGTCTTTTGGATGTAGTGAAGATGAGGGTGTGCGTGTGA